ATGGATTATTAAGTTCATGTTATACGCTATTAAACTCGGCACAGCTTATGTACACCATTGCGCTTATACTTGTAATTTTTTTTTCGAAGCGATACCATATTCCTTCAATATCCTACCGCTATTTTGTATAGCCTAACGGACGGGCACGAACTAAATACACACTAACTTCATTCTAATTTTATACAAGCCCATATCTACGATTGATTGTAACTATGCTATTCAATTTACTGTACTTTATGCAAACACAGACATTTTTTCATATATCTTTGTTTGCAGGGGGGAGTAATATAGCAACCATCCTACAATCAATTTCGATTATAGCCAATTTTGGTTAAGCCCTTTTTTATAACTTACTTAACAGACATTGTCATTAGGATAGTAACAATTTGCATATTCTTTGCACTGCTATACCACTAGAGCACATGACACTCTAGCCGAAATGTTGACTGCTTAAATATCATTCGATGACTCATACTCCTCCCCATATATGTACGCACACAAATATTATTATCAGCCTTTGTTTTGCTTTGCTGTGCCCTTATTAAATTTGACTATAAATTGCCTATGTAATTGCTTGCTACTCTCTCGCTCGCTCGCTTGCTCCTCGTTCGTTTCCTTCGCTTGTTTGCCTGTTCACTCGCTCGTTCATATTCGCTCAGGTGTTGTTAGCTTTCGAACCTGAGTCATTCGACAATAAACTGTAGTTGCTGCTATCCTTTGTCTTCTGATTTTACGCACCGTTAAGTTTAGAATTATAACGGTTATCGAAGTAAACGGTTAACGAATCGCGGCACTACAAGATCACAAGCTAGTAAGTGAAGGCACATCTGTGGGCCATCATAGAATGACGACGGATTTGGTCATTATAGCCTAAACAAATATTGCCGCCCAGTTATTAAGCCAATTATTGTTCCCTCAATAATAGATCTAAGTTACAATAAATAGACATTGATAAGGAGTGAAACAAAATGACCGAACGCGTCAAAAGATAAGTGTTATTCTATTCTTTCTGGATAGATCAAGTAAAAATCCGTTCAAAAGGTAATAGTTTGTTGCTTTATAACAAAAAGTATTTCAGATTCTGGAAAATTGCTTCAACTCACAATCAAAATGCACAATCCCGGTCAACTCAAGCAACACAAAGAGGGAACAAATAAATATGACTGTCGCCAAGACTAAATATCAACCAAAACAAAATAAATACAGTTCAGGAAGAAACATAGAAACACAGTGAGGTGGAAAGAAAATGAGAAAACTATAATGAAATTAAATATTACCATTTCAAATGGCATCAAAAGGACTAACAAAATGTACAACTAAATAAACCAATAAGAACAAGTTGCAAATGTGTGCATGGAAGGATCTTCACACACAAAACTTTCAAAATGGATCTTGCAATATTTACATAAACTATTGTTACCGTTATGGGTTTCAATCTTTAAGTTTTAGGAATTTTTGAAAGGAACACCTCGCGTACAAAACAAGTATACCGGTTCAAATTCAGCAGTGAATTATCTCCTTAAAGAGATGATTTACCAACAACGCAATCCGTCGTACTGTCATTCTATTTCTTTGCACATTAAATTGTCGAAATAGCGTTTAAATGAGGTCTCATGCTTCGAAATAAAAGTTCGCTTGACATCGCTAACTGCATAGACTATAGTTAGAGTCTTCGACAAGCACCAAAATAACACAAGTATCTACGAAAACGCCTTGAGCTAGCATTTATCCCATGCCAAACATGTGGCTTGGGATGTATATAGTCAGCGTAGTGCCTCCGCCAACCAGTTTTACTTCCAGTTTGGGAAAGGCAGAAGGCTTGATGGACTGTTTGTCCTGTCAGTGGTGGGCTCTCAGTTGATTCAACTTCATTGTGAAACTGTCGATAGATGAAGCTTCACTCACGCATTGATGATTCGATATGAAAGAAATTCGTTCTGGACTATGAACTTTCTTAGAGTGTGCTGAAAAGTTCTGTTTCTGGAGGCAAGTAAAATAAGGGCATAACGATTACATATTTATCACCTCTAACTCTTCTAGTAAACGTTTTGTTTTAGTCAGTCGATCATTGTAAGGGAGCTTTGCTATTCCGAGAATCCGCTTAGTTGCAATTATTTGGGTCCTTACTAACAGCTTGCTGCCGGTTATATTTAGTACTGAAGTTTAAGACGAACATATACTGTATACAAAGTCGGATAGACTTTAACATCGACATAGCTAAAGGCTCTACGTATTAGTTTTAGGGATTCCAAACCTTTGAACGCCAACGGAATGCAGTGTTCAGTAGTTTTTAAGTCTTGGCTTAAGATGAATCCTAAGTCAGTGTGCGTCTGGACAACAGGTATCTCAAGGTTGTCCATCATGAATGTATTTACCTTGGTGAGCATTGTGCATTATAATACGTTTATTGACAACTGCCAAATTTTAGAACATTCGGATAATTTACTCAGGTTATTTCCATGTTCCAAACTATTACCTTTAGTTTTATCTCCTTCAGTGTCTTGAAATCGTCAGCATATAGCAAAACCGATAATGATAGGAGTCTAGGGAGGTCATTTAGGGACAGGAGGAACAAAACTGGCTCCCTAAACATTCCGCTAAGCAACGTTTTCTAGCTAAACAACTTAGAGTTAAACTTTACTACTGGTTGACGCCAAACTCGGATATCTTCTATCCCATATTTGTAAACTGCCTCCAATCCAAACATTTCTTAACTCACATAACAATCGCTTATGAGTAACTCTGTTAAAATCCTTGCTGAGTTGAATTTAGGCTACATCAATAAGTAACTTTTGATCTTAAGGAGCCCACCAAATTCCACGGGCTACAAATATGTTTGTAAGACATGAGGAAACTGTTCTGAAGCCATTCTGTTTTTGAGAAAGTATCTCGTTTTCGTCGAAATACTTAGACAACTTTTCCCAAATAGAATTTCACAAAATTACAACAACCAAATAAGTTAAAGACACTGATTGATAGTTCTCAGATTTGTGTTCAGCGCCTATTTTGAAGATAGGAATTAATATAGCGTTCATTAACCATGCTCGTCCTCCACCAATGATGAAGCATTACTCTCTCTTCATAGTGTTGGAATCCTTCCTCTTTTTCTAGCTCTTTAGTTTACATACGAATACAAGAGTTTGGGTATTCAATAAACTCCTTAACAATTCTTTCTTCTAGACTTGCAGAGGGTCGAGGCACAAGTATTTCGAGCTTCTAGACATTGAGATTTTGTCTTATTAGTATCCAGCAGTCTAAATCTTTCCCAAATTCTTCTCATGCGGAGAACGGTATGAATCTCCTTACCGAACCATGGTGGCGAGTTTCTCGGACCCCTTGGTGTAGTCTAAGTGATGTAGAGTGCAGTAACGTTTGAGTACAACTTTCGAAATATATCCCAAGCTGTTTCAATTGGGGACTCTGGCTCTATTGTCCAATCTACTAAGGAAACTGAGTGTATAATACCTTATATATTTGCTTTCCAAGCGTTAGGTCTGATTTGAACGACGCGCCCGTTTTCGACAACTATATGTAAGTCAAAGATTAGGTCCTTTCCGCCGGCATCTAACCAAAGTTTCAGTTCTTTCCGGCCTCTTATCTCTTTGAACGATCTGCGAGCGAAAAGTCCTTACGGACAAAACCTCTGACCACTTTAGTTTGTGTCCATTCTGTAGTATTAAGTCCCTCTCATTGAGAGATTTAAAAACTACTTCTAGCAGCCTTGTTTGGTTCTGTTTCAAATTCATTTGGCTACCCAGTCTTTACATATTTAGCAAGGTGACTCTGGAGATATCCTGAAGAATTAGCTGATTCTGTAGTCGTTTTATCAACGCAATGTCACGCTCAAAACGAGTCTAAGGTTCTGGGCGTTCAGTATCCTTGATTCTATGAAAGATAGCTGACCTGTCAATATGATCAGTCTTCAGCTTCCCAGCTGCTTTTGGGGGTGTGGCTTTTCTTTGCTAGAATTATGTCGTTTCTTGCTCTCGACCTGTACACATTCATCAGCTTTCATTGGAGTAGCGACCACAGTCGTGTTACACACACTGTGGATTCCTGGATGAAAGACGATGACCTGGGTGGTCAGGTTGTTGTTATTCCTGCTAGAAACAAACATGGCCTTAAGACTAGGTCCTCCTGCTTGCTGCCATTCGGGAGGCAAGAAACTGAGGAAACTCCCTTTCTTGAGCCTTTATTTCCAACAGATCTGTTTGAAGTTGGTCTTTCCTCTGTTGATCCATGTAAGTCAATAGACCATGAGCTTACTTTAGGTGACTTCGCATCGATTTGTGTATCGACAGAGCGAGTACTATGTAATGTGTCTCGACTATACTTGCTGATACTCTTTCCAGCAGAGTTAGCCACTCCAATGACTTAGGATAGCAAGCTCTCTGCGTCCGAGCAGCATTGCTAACAAAATCACACGCAGCTATTCTGAGTGAATCTTTTTAAGGCCACAGGAGTTAGATTCGTGCAAACTTCGTGGTTCTATCCTTTGCATGCGTCACACTACGTTTCACTACGTACAGGATATCGGCAGCCTTGGCTTTGGCAGTTGATTTTATCGTACTTTACAGCCAGTAAACAAAGGGTTTCCAAGGGAGACTAGATACGACATCACTCAGAGATAAGAGTAATTGATGATCAAAAAGTGGAAAACTGTAAACTGTTAAAACCAAAAGTTTTGACAAAAATAATAGAAACAAAGTACGGAAAAGTAACGACGACAAATTAATTTAGAATTGAAAGCAATATTATTAGAGAATACTTTAACTGAAATAAATTCGATTAAAGTTTAACAAGTAGTCTTGATACGTAATAAACAATCAAAACCATGATTGATTCAGATAGCCTAAAACCGCTGGCCTTTTTCAATAGTGCGGCGTGAAAGATCTATTGAATTTAAATACCTTAGTGCATTAAGTGGAAGCTTTTTTCATGCCATCCACAACAACCTGGATCCTTTAATTCTGACAGTGTGACGTAGAAGGTTAAGGTCACGATTTCGTAACAGTGTCGTCTAGCCGCCTTCGTTGAATGTCCGATCCAGCATTCTGGACACCTCCGGACTCACCGGAGTTTAGGGGGATAGGTGCTATATTTTCTGAAGATTTAGATGCAGACCTGTTGACCGAAATAGATTGTAAGTATAGGTTTGTACATCTGAGCTTTTTAGTTGATGTGCAACAACCAGCACCATTTTTAGGGTTATGTTGTGATACAGTAGATCCAATCGAGTTTTTGTCGTACGTTTTGAAGTTTCGGTTTTAACGTTTTCAGACGTTTTGAAACGACCACAACCGTTGTTCATTGGGCTGATCCTCAAGAAATTTTATGCTTACTGAGGTTTGATAATCAGAAATAATAATTGATATTGAATACAGAAACAAATTAGTCTTGCTGAAGAAGTCCTCTTTTAAATTCCAAAGTGATTCTGCAGGTCAGATTTTGTCTACCTTATACTTTTTTAGATCTTAGGAACGATGTTTCATTCCTTCTATTAGCACTATGTTCCTCCGTAACGTAAGATTTCCTCATCATTTATAGCTTCCCAGGGAGACGGAGTTTGAAAAGAGTTCTGTCGTACCATTAGTTGGCTGTGTCCGTTCAATTTTGGGTTTCCTGGGACCACTAACGAGTTTGCTGGAAGCAAAGGTATTTTTTCATTGCTTACCGTTCAAATAGACAAACAAAAATTTTATTCACGCTCACCTGGAAATATGGTTGACAGTTCTGAAAATCTTCAATTTTCTCTGCAATAGAGCGGGTAGTTGTGTTTTTCTAATTTAACGGTTCGTAGAATATGTGGAACTCGTAAATGAGACGCTTGGATTAAAACCACAGAGTTCTCTGAACGCGTGCGGCTACTTTCTGGATATTGTGTTGGAGAATTTAATACTTTATTCAGGATTGGTAAATGCCCACTAAAATATTAACAGTGATTAGACCAACTTTCAAAGGTGCTCATGTGATACAATCTTATGGGTTGTCATAATGCATTTCGTAGAAAAGGCATGTTCGTTTTCGATTTTACACTGTGTTTTAGTCTTGTATTTTCCATTTACGACTAAATTGAGTGCGCTGCATTCATTACGTATTACGTTTTTATTATATCTTTGATAATGTCGTCAACTTTATGCCTCCCAAATTTGCTAAAGTCTTCACTTTTCGTGCTTACATTGATTCTTTCCCGAAGCTGAAAGCCTCCAACGTTCGAATTCTCTGTTATACTATAGGAATAAAATAGTTGGATTTCATGTCGCTTAATATTGCTAACGTGGTTCATCAACAAAATCTCCACGGGTATCTGGATATTCAACTCCCAGTTTCTGTGAGTTCGTAGGGTTAGTTTTCCCGTGAAAAGACAACGAAAAGTACAGTTTTTAAATGGATTACAGTTTGTAATTGTATATTATTATTATTTGATTATGTATGCGCGAAGAAATGTCGCGATACATCATCATACTTGAGAATCAGTCAGCTTCGAAAGGCCAAATGTCTAAGTTACATCACAGTCATTGATAAATTTGATCTCTGGTACCCAGCTTGCGTAAAGTACAAAATCATGTTAGTATTATTGACAAATAAACCTGAATGACATTTTCTTTACAATCACTTCAAGCTATTTGGCCTAATAGATCCAAATGCTAACTTTTAAGGTTGTATAGTTTGTTAGGTAGGTACAAGCGGTCGATATTCTGCCAGTGTACTGCAACAGATATTATATATAGATTTTTGCAATGTCAAGTTAGTTATATGCATTCTTTTTGGTCTAAAAAACCCCCACAGCAATCGTTTTTTTTCAACGTTTGGCAACTGATTTCCCCTCACAATCTAGTCTACTGAGTCGTGACATTTCCTAGTTCGGTGATTTATTCGAAGTGAGAGTAGATCGGTCGCTGCTATTCAAATAAATAGTCCTTCATAGTGTCTTATTTGGCCTAAATCTACGTTAGTCCGTAGTCCTAGATTGTTATAAGACATTGATTAAAGGTATGTAATGCTAACATCAAGTCAATGAAAGTCGATTATAAATAGACTAGTGCTCAAGAACCTCACATAAGATAATTTTCAGATCAATAATCTTTCAAATAATCATCTGGAAAGTAGCAGTTGCGAGTTTTCTATTTTGGGTTGCTTCAGACTACTCTTCACTTGAGACGAAATTACGTAGTGACTGTTATTGACGTTAGGCGTACAATGGGTAACAACGATAACTTCGTTAGTGACGTAAACGTCAACCAAGGGTTTTGAGACATTTGATACACCTAAGTCGATAACACCCACTGTGACATGATATGCTAAATAGAGTAGGAATGTGTTATAGAGGTCTTAAAGCATCTAGACTAATAGTTTCAGTTGATAATCACTGAATGTTGGTAAATGTCGTAGAGAGGTTGTAATCTTAGTATGTTATCAGAGATAGCATGGCACAAATGTCAATCGCAGTAGCGGGAACGCAGTCAGTATTTTCTATTAATATGTAAAATATAATCCCTGATTTCGCGTGTTTTCTAACATTTAGCTATCCATTATTCCGGCATTATTTTCTATTTTCCTCTGGTTGATTTCTCTTCACTTTACTGATATGGACTGTTGCAACTTGAACTTCCTGTTTTAACTCATTCGAGGGCTAATCCCCACCGCTATCTCTTCATTATTGTAGGACTTATAAAGCTACCTTCAAACATTAATTGAATTGTATGTCGTAAACAATGAAGGTAATCGATCCCAGCTCTAACACCTACTAACGTGGTTGCTGCTCAGTGCTTATGAAATTTTACTTTATCATTAATAGTGAACATTTATTTATTTATTTTAACACAAAGATTGTTACAAGGGGGTACCAGATACATATGAGCCACACAACAACAATGAACAGAAATTAATGTATGAGTGTGAAATAGTAATAACAATAATAATAATGGGGGAAGCAGTTTGGTTAAGAAAAATACGAGAAAACATCCGTTCAACTAAAGACGTTACGTTCATTTCTATGCAGAAATTACGAAAAAGTTACAGCAGGATCGCCACTGGCTTATATATTTAGCCATGTCTGATATCGTCTAAAGCCACTGTGTTGTACCATCTCTAGGACTCCAACTAGGGAGTCGTGAAGGGCCACCAAAAGCCAGTCCTGTACAGCTTCCTTTCATAACACGACTCCATGTCAAACACTAACTGTCTCTACGCTTTGTCCTATTGGTCCCATCGTGAACAAATAAAGCGCGACATGGAATTCCTTTGGACGACTTTTGTAGTACATGTCCAACCACCGAGGTGGTTCTATGCCCTCACTCTGCTTGAGGTGTTTGTATGTAGGGCTTTCAAGATGTTAATAAACTTGACAGACAGACCCTCCTTCAACAGACTATTTCAGAGACGAGTCCTGTCTAACAAATCGACGGTGGGCCTGATGTGAAACATGACGTTGCGCTGCAATAGGTATGACGGCGTTCTAACATTTAGTAGAAGGTGGCGATATATATGATCAACACATCCTCGACCAAAACGAAAAACAACCTGTCCTTTGCGAATCAACCTTTCCCGGGTTTTGAACAATCTGCGAAGTATGACGGGAGCCAATAACTTGAACGCAATAGGTAGTGAACTTATCCCCCGATAGTTGTTGCGTATGTGACCTGAACCCTATTTTAAGATAGGGAAAAACTATTGACTCGTTTCACTATGTTGAAACGCTTCAATTCCCAGACGTTTGTAAACGACTCAGTCAGTTCTTTAGCCAGAAGTTCGTCACCATCTTAAAAAAAGGACTGGAAGTAAGTCATATGGGTCTGGTGACTTGTGGAGTTTAGAAACGTGGAGTTCCTTACGAAATTTCGCCGTGTTAGATCAATCGGTTGACACTAGCCTGAGAGGATAAGGCAGTGGTCGATGTTGCCGGGGCAAACGACCACCTGAACTATCCCTCAAAACCTTCTGTCCGTCGTTCGAGACGTCGGTAAATGTTATTGATTGACCTTCCGTCAGTTTCACAGATGGTTTCACTTGCACTAGACTTCTTGCTACCAGTAACTCGGATGAGCTGGAGAGCTTCCGGGAGTTATCAGAAAGTGCTTATGCCCCCAACTCGTTAACTCCCTCCGACCATCAGGCTTCCGGGTCCTTACGCAGACTTTGCACAATTTCATTATTTAACAATCTTCATTTATCACCAAGCTCGCGGTTGGCCGGAGTAGACCGACGTGCTTCAACAAGTTGTGAGGAGCCTGTAAAAACCCAGCACTTATAAGCGGGACGTTTCGCGTAGCTACAGGCGACTTTACTCCTCATTTTCATGGCGTCATGCAAGTGCAGCTATTGCTCGTCTATACTTTTTGGTAGATTGATAGCTAGCCTTGAACCTAGCTCGGTTTGATATTCAGTTGCGACAGAAGCTACAGCCAATTTGCTAACATTGATCCATTTATGATGACAGATTTTCTGACCCCTAAAACGTAAGATAAGATAAACCCAAATAAGGGCATGGTCAGAGTCCAAATAAATACCCCAAAAGCAGCAGCAGTCTTGCACACAACCACGCTGATGGTAGCTGTTGTATCCTGTGGAGAAATATGAATGGTAAGTTTGAGGACTATTTATGGACCAATGTGATATGTATATTTCCTATTTTATAATTGTTAAGTAACTTAACTACTCATATTCATGTTCCCCTTATCATGAGCTTTTGGCCCCCAAATGCCCTGGTACGGCCGAGAGTGGGGAGAGTCCGCTCTCCCTCTCGAAATGCTCTCACATGGCCACGCGTATATAGCCTCTGCCACAAAAGTCCTACTCACTGCCTTCTCGCATCACGGGTGTTGTTTACGAAAGTGAGAGGACGAAAAGCGAATGCCCGGCGCTATAACCGGATTGGTGGACACGGAAAGTTCACCTAGGGGAGTTGGAAAACCCTGATTCCAAACCAATGGTGCACATGGGCTCCAGTATCCTGATGGAACAAATGGCGTATGAACCAACTGTTGGTCACAGGCTACCATGAGACTGCATTTCCTCACGATGCTCCACTGCCTTGTGGATCAGACCTTTAGGTCAAAGGCTCCGGGTGTGGTCCCCTAAGAAAACCACCTGCTTCGGTCTGGGCACCTGGGCAGTATTACAGCCCTCACACAAATTAAATGAGATTTGTGCGGCGCCTATGTATTTGGTGCTTTCTTGTACCGATATTTATGTGCTTAAATAAATAATAAGATATCGTTAGTTTATTTTGACCCATAGACTATTACTGTACGATTTACCATTCCTGAGTTATCTCCAGTCTATTAATTACTGTTCCCCCCTATTCACAGCCACATTTGGCCAAATCTTCTACGAATGTTGTTTCCTATTTTATGATACGATGTAGTCCGTCTGTTTGGTATATAAACGCAGTATATTTGAGAATAATGATTCATATTGCAGAGGCTGTTATTGGTGTTCTGGACTTAACTGACTGGGCCAGGCAGATAGCAGGACCGACTAGTGCTCTAGACTGCTCGTTAAATTTTTCATGTGTCATTGCTCTGGTCGATTATTCACTCCTCTCTCATTGGCGGGGATCATCACGTCATATATTAAACAGGGCTCACACGTTATAACAGTGGCTGATTGTAATCTGATCAATCTGAGTCCAGACTTGATATACAGATAGAAGACGCCGGGTAACACATCGGCGACGACTGTCCTAATAGTTAGTGTTAGCCAGAATGAGTTTGTAGTCTGCACCAAGTTTCGGTGGACGGTCACCGTTACCTGGCCTGCGACTAACAGGTTTTCATCGGCCACCCGAACGACTTTCCTCTCCACCTAGAGCATCGACCTGCGCACTCAAATCCACGGCTAGTACTACAATACTTGTCGAACGCACTTTCTGTAGAAGAACAATTAACTGGTGGTAAAACTCATCCTTGATCGTGTCCGGGATGCAGCTTGTCGAAGCGTAGGCGATGAAGAAAATACAACGTTTCTCATACCGAATACTCATTTTGATGGAGCTTTCTAATCTAACAGCACGTGACTGACAATTGATGGGAATCAGTGCTGCCTCAGCTCTGGCGTTTAGTATGACAACAGAACCAGACGAAGATGCCATACGGCCCCCGAATAAGCGCACGTGAAACAAGCTTTCCGAAGCGATAGATGGAGAGCGAATTTGTACTACTTCACCAAAGTCCTGAATACGGGTCTGGGATAGACAACAAACTTCCTTAAGATATAGCGAACCCTGTTTGTCTTCCGATCTGCATTATTTTGCGGGTGTTGGAGGAGGCCAATTTGAGTACCGAGACTAGAACTACTTGTACCGTCTTACTTTTGTGTTCCTCGAAATATATCATCATATATCCTAGTAAGTTTTTCGTAAATTTTCCAAGTTTTTACACGGTTAATTTCTTCAGCCAAACATTTGACTTTTCACATTATCCTTTAGACTCAGAAAAACTGGTTCAAATTTTTCCATGGGAAAATGATCAAATTGAGTGCTCAACAAAGAGCAGAATTTTCTGGTATGTTTAATTAGATTTTAGAAATCCATGATTGAAATCTAGCACTTATTAAGTCTGCTATATGCCTATTTAGTACATAATTTAACCTTAGCATAAATCCAGCGTTAAAATAAGTTTGTAGTTGATGGTAAATCGTATTACCAATGTCTTATAGTCATGTTAAAAATATTCACACTCTTTGAGATTATTCCTCTCTACTCTGGTAAATCTGCATCCAAAGCCAAACGTTCACACGGTTTATGTCCCTGTTTTAAACTTGTGAATCAGTGGTAGACTCTGCAAACAGTTTACGTAACAGTTATATTTAATTAATGTTGGTTATGTAATTAAGGAAGCTTATAAATCAATAAATTTTAAGACATTTGTATGATTATTTGCAACACTAAGTCTTGGAGTTACGTTCCATCAAATTTGTAATTTTGTAAGCAGCAACTTTAATTTGTTTATTTCTGAGTATTTAAGTTTTTAAAAACCAATATTAGTGTCTACGGCTTGTCATGGTTGAGTTAAAAGTGGATGAAATGTCACCAGAATTTAAGACTTGTCTGTCTCGAACGTATTCATTTGTTTCTTTATTAGCAGGACATAGATTGGTTTAAAGCATGCTCCGTGAACGATTGCACTGTTTCACGCTGATTGGCTAATTCTTATCCAATCAGCGCTGGTTGATACTTAGAGAAGACTCTGGAATCTTCTCATGTAAAAACTATAAATATACTAACGATTTTCTTATTGTGCTTCTTGCTTCCATCTACCCTTGTCATTCGGAATATAATTCCTTTCCTGTTCAACTGTGTTCTAATTTGGGGACGTGTCGAGTGAATTGGCGTCCAAGAATACTAAGCAATAGGATTAGTTGGGTTGTAATAAGAGAAATTATAACGCTATTTAACTCATGATTTTCATGTTTGGGTTGATCTTTACATTATTTAACCGTTAATATTTTCTTGTGTAAGTCAAAAGTTACACTGTGTAATAATCTCATTTCTTTTTTATTTTATCTTTACCAGAATTCAATACTTTAGAGTGTGTTCGTCCTAATTTCAAGTCCTATTTTCAATCCTCAAGTTTAGATATTTCCCATCAATCTTCTCTGACTGTGTGGTCTTTGTATTGGAATGTACTTGCATACACTACCCCCATATACAGTTTGTATGCAGATCATGCAAATCAGTCTAAGGTACTTCATTCCCTTTGTTTTTGCTAACATGCCAGTGTTCGATTATTTTAGTTATCTTAACCTCTTTTAAAAAATCATGTATGTACTGTTTCCCACAGTAGGTGTATTTCTCTTTTTTTTTTAAACTTACATTAAGAGATAAACGTTGCGTTGTGTAAGTGAATCATACATCTTAAAATAATTTTAAAAGCAAACATCTTCCTGAAGTTAACGCTATTTCTTTCCTATAAATTTCTAGATTTCATTACTCCTGACTCAATGTTTAGAGCTTATAATATGGAAGCTCAGTCAAAAGATCTAGCAAAATTTTTTCATTAAATATTTATTTCACGACGAAATTTACACATAGTACATGCATTTATAATAAGATAACGTTACGTAAAGAGACCTAATACTCAATTCAGAATTTCGGAGCTCATATCTCTTCAAATTTTGTCGATAAATGAAACTAAGATATATAATTTACTTATGTTGAGGGTGTTGGACTAGATGTCATATACTGGCTCGAAGCCTATTATTTACCATGTTTCTTTTGCATCATGTTCCGATATAAAGTTTTTCGGGGTATTGGAGGTTCTACTTCTCATATTGGTATTGTGTGAACTTGTCTTTGTTGTTATTTGAAATTTCCTATGATGTTCAAAGAGCTTCAAACTCACCATTTATTTGTAATAGTGATTAAAATATTTTGTACTAATCAAACTGAGTACCGATCGCTCTAATGCCTCTCACTTCCTTTTTATGCCAAGGTGGGTTTGGGGACACTACAGAAATATTCCGTTGTGGTCTGGTTGATTCGTCAGCAGTTCTTAGGAGTACGTTCAGTCATTATATTTTTAAAATTTTGCTTATAAATGTGATTCAATGTGACAGTTCAACCAAATATTTTACTTCCATATGTTATAAATGGTTTGAAACGTAGTTAAGATAGGTACATTACATGCATTAATTCAGGAATCTAAAAATGGTTAGCGTAAACAGGAAGTTGCATAGTCAATTGAAAAGTTCCTCCAAAATTGTAATAATATTGTACGAGTGAGGCGGAACACAACATATATATCACTAAAGTCCGATTCTTGATGGGAAGGTCCTGAATAAAAAGGAGATTTTTGCTGATGATAGTGAAAACATTGTATTATTTTAATTAAGAAACTGATGAGAAAATAATTTAGTAGTGTTCAAAACCGAAATACATGAAATAAGAATTTAAACCTACTTGTTTAGAATCAAAGCCTTTCCTGTAAATTTGGTCATTAATGGTTAAAAAATCCTACAACTAGGGCCCTTGTATCATAAGGTTAATATTTAGTTCAAAACAGATTTTTCTGTTTACTTTCTTGTGATTGGGTTCAGTGCTATTCAGTTTAATTATCCCATCAAAATCACCTCGTTTCTCTCGACGCATCATACATTTGTTGATTATAGTTTGGTTAGGGGCTTGCATTTGGATCCACAATGCGTTTTTAACTCTCCTTGTGCCTCTGCAGTTTGCTATACTTGCTTCCCACTCTTGATATTCCCACCAGAAATCTGACAGTGCCCTCGGCTTCCGATTCTAAGGGATTTATTTGATTTCATCCTAGCTGTTATCGAAATTCCCTGGTCGTTTTTATAGATATGACTGTGGATAGATCATATATTTCGAAATTGGCGTCACGGAAGACTCGATTTAATCGAAAACGAGTTTATTATCACTTCTAAATAATTCCATCTTCATTACATCATGAATATCCTGTTCACTGAGATTCAGGTACATCCAGCTGACGAGTCCAAAATAGGACGAAACGCGCGTCCTGGATTCCGCTGTTAGCCACTATCCATCTTTGCCTATCCTGTTCACTGTTCATAATACCAGAAAAATCATACATATACAGTATAACGAACTTAAAACTGATTTTTCTATTTATTTTATAGGAGACTACTCCTAATAATAGCGAAGTTCACTTTTGCCTTACAAGTTTACTTCGTTTATCTGAAACATGCGGAATAAATTTAGAAGTAGTTCGGTCTTTATGGTTGTATTTCAAAAGTTGGCTAGTAAGTTTATTTTTACGATTTTCACGGATACTTCTGTCAAAATTGTGCGATTAGTTTAAATGTTAAGACCCATACTTTTCTTGTATTACTTTAAACCGAACTTCTTATGTAACTTGCTGTGTATCTTTATTTCACAAAATTTTTATTTAGAGCACTGGATTTGATACTTCAAACAGATCTTCAGGTTTACTTACACCTAGTATGAGGTAAGCATATGAATTCGCTTCATAGCAAATCCCAGTCTTCATATTTATTTCACCATCGTTTTTAATTGGTTGTGTAAATAAGAGGTTGTTTCGATACACTGTATTTTAACTCATACTAATTAATTCAAATCGAATTTGATTTCAGATCATAAACTTAAAAACAAATATGAGTAAAACAAATAGATATTTTAGTTCCTCGGTTGCCCGATATAAAATAATTAGTTTCTGTATTTCCAATTAGTATGTCCCTATATTGCATACTGACTATTGAAATCGGTGTTAGGATTAAGAATGTTCACTTGGGCATGATTCAATTTCCAGTTTATCATCAAGCTTGTGGTTCAGCTTATATGCTATTAAGTCCTGGTACTTTCCCATTTTTTCCAGATTGGTCATTAAACGGTTAGTTATAAGGTAGACTCAGAGATTGTTTCATTAGTTTCTTCTGTTGACTTCAGTTTGTAATTTAGACTGGACGTTAAAGATACATTGAAAAAGCAATTCCTTCAAGTAATCTTTAAGAACACCAACACGGAGTTCTTTGTTTTCAATGTAATCACATTAGAACCAAATTATTTTAGTAGGAGGCACGTTTGTAAAGAATGAAGAAACTTCTTAAGGTATCACTCAATTTCCTGTTACATTGACATCGACTAAACTAAAAAATACCAAATGAATCAATAGTGTTGTACTAATTGAGGTGCCCTCCGACAGGCTGTAGAGTTTCGGCTAACCATTTAACTGTAGGATCGTCTATTCCATGGAAGTTTTGCTTCCTTTTTAATTGGATAACAAAACTAAGCAAGTGTGCTGTGGTCTTTCACGGAGCAGTTTGCTTAATAAAAAATCTAAATATATCACTCACCAATGATAAGTTAAACAGAACTAGCGACTTCTTTTGCCAACATTCTACCAACTAAATTCGTCTTTACACTTTCCCATATCCACTGATTCAAATATGATAGATTAAGTATTCTAACTAAATTATTTTAAAAACAAATGACTGCATATTATGTTGATATTTTGTATATATTTATGTTGTAATAACATAGTGTTTAGTTGTCGTTTTTTATTTCTTTTTAACATAAAGTTTCAGATGTTGGTACAGTAAGGTAAAACCAGAGTGTGAGCTCAGACAGTAAGTTAATTTTTGATTATAGCTGTGAATGTCGTTTTAATACCTAAAATGGAATTTGGATACTGCACTGTATTTTTAGATTTTGAAATCATTTCCAGTTTATTTCCACTAGATCTACTAGAATATTATGAGGATACAGTGAAAGCCTAGCGACTAGGTAAAACTATTGAGTAGAGTCTATTATTTTCACCGCAAGTCTTTAGTGGGCTTATGCTGAAGTGTATTTTGTGGTCCAGATTGAGAATTTTCGAGTGATTAATTTTTGTTGAATTTAACTTCTTAACGTCTACGAACTTTATCGAGAGAAATCAATTCCATTTTCTCTTAAGGTTTAAACTTTAATGTATGTTTTACTATATTTTCATCTAGAAATTTCGTTATGTTTTGTTTGCTTCTTCGGAGATTATCTCCATCGGACGTTGAGGCGCTATGTACGACGTAAGTGATGAATTTTCATTTATAATATCCAATACAAATGTAATCTATAAAAGGGACGATCATAGGTTTGATGATCTCAACAAACTGTGATCTGTCGTTATTTCCCTTAGGATTATACACTTACTACTTTTATAGAAAATAAATGTAATGCTAATACCTTTAAAGTGGCCTTATTTGGCGTATATATGATATGATATAAAAGTTACAAGGTCAAAAATATCTCGAAGTCATCATCATTTAAGCTGCATACTTATTGATCATGCTTGTAAATTCACTAGATTTTTTAAATTTTACCATATAGATATCTGCAATTTTTAAGTAAAGAATGGGAGGAACATCTTGAAACATTTTGCTGAATACTTCCTGCTTTACCGAACAAATTATGATGAATAAAGTGATCAATATTAGTAATGTTACTAATATCTTCGCTTTGAAAGTCCCACTTCAGTGTTGTAAAATCAACTGTTACTTGTCATTCAATCAAATTTTCTTTATTTTAATGAAACATAAATATTGGTACAAGAAAGCACCAAATACATAGGCGCCGCACAAATCTCATTTAATTTGTGTGAGGGCTGTAATACTGCCCAGGTGCCCAGACCGAAGCAGGTGGTTTTCTTAGGGGACCACACCCGGAGCCTTTGACCTAAAGGTCTGATCCACAAGACAGTGGAGCATCGTGAGGAAATGCAGTCTCATGGTAGCCTGTGACCAACAGTTGGTTCATACGCCATTTGTTCCATCAGGATACTGGAGCCCATGTGCACCATTGGTTTGGAATCAGGGTTTTCCGATTCCCCTAGGTGGACTCACCGTGTTCACTAACCCGGTTATAGCGCCGGGCATTCGCTTTTCGTCCTCTCACTTTCGTGAACAACACCCGTGATGCGAGAAGGCAGTGAGTAGGACTTTTGTGGCAGAGGCTATATACGCGTGGCCATGTGAGAGCATTTCGAGAGGGAGAGCGGACTCTCCCCACTCTCGGCCGTACCAGGGCATTTGGGGGCCATTCAATCAAATGGTTGATGTACACTCTTGTTGATAACAAGTATTTGATGGTTTCCGTATTTGTGTTCATAATAGTTAACTATATTTGGAAAAGAAAGTAAATACGGCCAAATAGTTAAATCAAAGTGCTCGTATTCGACTTTGGTTTTCAGATATTTAATCATTATATTTTTTAAGTTCTCAGTTAAAATAACGAATGGATATTACTTTTGTCAAAAATACTAATAATCCAATTCGTTATCTTTGGAAATTCACTGAGTATGTTTACTCTATAATGTCTGGTTATGACATTTACTGTATAGTTTGATTACCTACAACTCCATTTTACTAGAATTCGATTTTTGAAATGGTTCATTTTGTTGTAAATTGTAGGAACTTTCACGTGCTATAGGTCAGTAAATTTGCCCTTTATTACGCCGTAGATTTTAAAAATTACAACATTTTTAATGCTTGAAATCTACAACTAGTACGATAGCTAGTGCGATCGATGCACGTATAGTGAAAGCCAGAGCGGCTTATGCCAATCTGGGCCATCTTTGGCGCCTTCCTGATGTTAGTCTGGCTGTAAAAGGTCGGATCTACAACGCGTCGGTGAGAGCAGTTTTGCTCTATGCTTGTGAATCCTGGCCTCTCCGAGTTGAGGATGTTAGACGTCTCTCTGCGTTTGATCATCGTTGTCTGCGAAGGATTGCTGACATCCATTGGCAACATCATGTTAGTAATGCAGAGGTTCGGCATCGTGTGTTCGGCGCAGAGACAATAATTCAATTGGTGTCACCATCTTGAAACACCGACTTCGGTGGCTTGGACATGTTTTACGAATGTCGTCCCAGAGACTTCCACGTCGTGCATTATTTGCTTACTCTGGGACTGGTTGGAAAAAGCGGAGAAGAGGTCAGTGTATGACATGGTGTTGTGGTATGAAAGAAAGCTGGAAAGGGCTAGCTTCTGTTGATCCTTCACGACTCCCAGTCTGGGGTCCGAGAGATGGTGCAACACAGTGGCTAGAGACATTATCAGATATGGCCCAGAATGGAAGCCGATGGTGATCCTGCTGTAACCTTCTTATACTTTCTGCATAAAGCGTGGTTATAACCTCCTTAACTCAGACACCGACTGTTGGTGCTACCTTGAGTTAGTGGTTGGGCTTGCCTATCGTGATGAACCAATTGAGCTATACTAACTGGAACAATCGTTCCCCAAGGTCCCACCATGCCAGACAGGTCGGTTGAAGAGCGGTAAGATTAAAAACTGCAAACCCAAGGTCAGAGGATAAAGTCGTACTACTAAATGTACAGAAGTGAGACGGCAGTAAGGAGGTTTCCCCCAGACAACCAGCACAACAGCGATGCTGCCTTCCCACAGGGAGGGGTGGGGTTAGAAAAGGTCGACCCAATTCCCTTTACAGGTACCTCTAGACCAACCCTTCCACGGTGTGGGCAACTGGGAAGTGATAACTGCCCTCATACCTCTAACAGCACTCAAGACCACTGTATTCATAATCAATCTTCTTCTTCACTTCTTACTATTCCTTCTACCTCGACCTTCAACACTAAACTTCCTCTTTCGGTTTCCACCTCAAGTGTCACCATGGCCAACCATTCTAGTGCGCGAAACACTGTCCCAGGTCTACTAAAACCTCGCTCCAAACTACACATTGGAGCCTTCAACGTACGTACCCTAAGCCATATCGATCAACAGGCCTCCTTGGCTAAGACCCTAGAATCTCGTACCATTGATGTATGCTGTGTCTCCGAAACACGCATACATGATCCCAGTGTGGTAATTCACTTGACCTCATCTCACCAAAATGGAGAGCCAACAAAATACACCCTCCATGTATCTGGCGACCCCATGACTAGTTCTCGTGGACTTGCAGGTGTAAGCATAGCACTTAGTACAAGGGCAGAACAAGTACTACTGGAATGGATCCCCGTTAACAGTCGCCTGTGTGCTGTCCGGCTAAATGGCTCCGTAAGAACTCGGAAGGATAGGGACACATGTCGTTGCCTTTTCGTCGTTTCTGCCTACGCTCCCACTGACTGCAGCGCGGATGAAGTAAAAGATGACTTTTACAGAAAGCTCTCTGAGCTTCTTCAGAAAGCTAAGCGCTCAGACATAGTACTCATAGCGGGTGACTTTAATGCCCAGGTAGGCAGCTTGAATCAAACGGAAAGACATTTAGGTGGGTGTTTTAGTATTCTGGCTCAACGAACCGATAATGGTGATCGTCTGTTGCAACTATGCTCAGACAATCGTTTATTTTTAGTAAGCACTAATTTTAAGCATAAGGAGAGACATCGCCTAACATGGCGACCACCTGCACTAAACCAACGATGGACTCAAATAGACCATATTGCCATCAGTTATCGTTGGAGAGGCTCGATAGAAGATTGTTGCTCGTACTGGAATAGCTGTTTGTACTCTGATCACGCTTTAATACGAGCACGCATTTGTTTGCGCCTCACTGGACGCAGGAAAACTACACTAAGAAGACCCATTAGGATTGAACTGGAGGACGAGAAAGCCAAATGCGAGTTTCAGAAACAACTGAGTTCACATCTAGGCAGTTCTGTAAACGAGATTGACCCAGATGCTGCTTGGAAAGACATACGAACAACTGCGGAAACAGCAGTCACATCTATTAGTAATTTAAACCATAGGGTTCCAAAAAACCAATGGATTTCTTCCAAGTCTATTTCACTGATGGATTTGCGTAAACTCATCCCATCAGGCTCTCAACACGACGAAGAGCGTAAACAAATTAGATCTAGGTTGACTAAAAGTCTAAGGAACGATCGTGAGCAGTGGTGGGCAACGAAAGCAAAAGAGATGGAAAAGGCAGAGGCTGTAGGCAACACTAGGGAACTCTTCAGACTAATAAAAGAAACCGGAATTAAGAAGTCAAGTGTAAGTGAGACAATCTCGGAAAAAGACGAAACCCTTATCTGCTCTCAGCCCAGACGTTTAGAGCTATAGGCGGAACACTCTAAGGAGCAGTTCAGCTGGCCTTCAGCTACTGCACAACTACCCACTATTCCCAGACAGTCTGAATGGAACATTGAAGTAGGTCCCCCGACCCTACCTGAATTTCAAAAGGCTACAACTAATCTGAAACGAGGAAGAGCAGCTGGTCCAGATGAATTGGCTTCAGAGGTCTTTAAATATGGTGGTCCAATTTTGGCGATTAGGTTGACTAACATTCTGGCTAAAATCTGGGAGTTGGACGTAATCCCATCTGACTGGTCACAATCTCCGATTGTCCCAATATATAAGAAGGGGCCAAAATCATCCTGCGATAACCAGAGGGATTAGTCTGACTAACATAGCATCTAAAATACTAGCCTCAATAATTACCAGGCGCCTAACTAAGACTCGTGAACTGCAAACACGAGAAAATCAGACTGGCTTCAGACCTGGTCGTGGCTGCATCGACCACATATTCGCTATTTGTCAGGTTTTAGAGAAGAGGCATGCTTATCGGCGTCCGACAATGATAGTTTTTCTTGACTTAAAAGCAGCATTTGACTCTGTAGACCGAGAGGTTCTGTGACAGTGTCTGTCATTGAAAGGTGTACCTCAGAAGTACATAAACCTTGTGAAGGCTCTTTATTCGAACACTACCAGTCGAGTGAGAGCTTATGGCGAACTGTCATATATGATTTTACAACCTCAAATGGTGTCCGTCAAGGTTGTCCACTATCCCCAATTTTGTTTAACTTCATTGTAGACCTATTGCTGGAAATAACACTCCCTTCGACTGAATTTTCAGGAATTGATCCCCTACCAGGAGGTCTACTTATCGACTTAGAAAACGTGGATGACATAGTTCTGTTTGGTGAAGACGCTGATAAAACGCAGGGTCTTGGTAGCACTGAGCAACAATGCAGGGATGTTTGGAATGCGTTTCTCCCCCTCTAAATGTAAACTGTTACTTTAGGACTGGCCTGGGTCAACACCTGAATTACGGATAGGGAGTGAAGTAGTCGAACGCGTCGACAACTTCACTTATCTTGGAAGTCTGATTAGCCCTAATGGGTTGGTGTCTGACGAAATCTCAGCACGGATTCAAAAAGCTCGTTTGGATTTTGTCAACTTACATCACCTATGGCGAAGACGAGATATCCATCTACCAATTAAGGAACGAGTATACTGTGCAGCAGTTCGCTCTGTTCTACTTTACGGCTGTGAAACGTGGCCATTAAGAGTAGAAGATACTCGTAAGTTACTAGTATTTGACCACAGATGTCTTAGAAATATTGCTCGCATCTTCTGGTATTACCGGGTAAGTAATAGTGAGGTTAGACATAGGATATTAGGGAATGATGGTAAATCATTTGATGAGGTCATGAATCTTCATCGACTGAGATGGTTGGGCCACGTGTTACGTATACCTGAACACCGATTACCACGACGCGCTATGCTGACTAGTATTGGCGATGGTTGGAAGAGAGTTAGGGGCGGCCAAACTAAAACATGGCATCAGTGCTTGAAGTCACTAACTTCTAGTCTGAGCCATGTTGGTAGATGCAGACTACTTGGTCGGGGTCCGCGTGACTATCGTAACCAACGGTCGGAGACTCCGTGTGACATGGCTCAGATTCGATCAAAATGGTGTAGGTGTATACACTCTTTATCTTCCCTTAAACCTTAAGATTAAAATTGCCTTTTTTCCTTCCTATACTATATCCTTATATACAACCTCTATATACTACCACTACTAAATTAACTACTATTAATCCGGTGTTCATCTTGTTGTGCTAACGAGGTATGGCAACTTGGACCGATGCATGTGTGTACTTGGACCTACGTTGTAGCTGACTGACTGAACTTAATTGAAAGAGTTCTTCTGGTTGTACTTTCCAGATTCCTCACCATTACCCTTTTTTATATGCATCTTACCCCTTTCTCTTTCCATTTCCTTTGTTTTGTGTGGTGCATATATATCTGGTGCCCCCTTGCACCAATATTTATGTGTTTAAATAAAATAAATAACTTTCTGACTTTATTCACTTTTTCGTACTCCTTTTATCTTATTTTTCAAATAGCTTGAAAATCCCACTGTTGTCACTGACTAAGCAAAGTATTTCTCACTACTTTTTCATATGGGCTAATTTATTTGAGGAAGCCTTGGATACATTATCAGTGAGCATAGACAACATGGATAATAATAAAATACGTTTATTATCCCTTGTAAGTTTCCGCTTATATGTTAAAACAATGCCCTTATATATATATATATATATATACATATATATATACTTTACAAACCGATACTTATGCCTGTTACTCCTCGTGGAGTAGCATGGGCTGCTCACCAGGATTCTTCATCGAACTTTGTCGTGCTCAGTCCTTTCCAAATGCTATTCATTCTTGTAATACCTGCCTCCAATTTTCGACGCAATGTGTTCCTTGGTCTTCCACTTATCGTGTTACCTTCAGGATCCTAGTTAGCTCTTGCCTCGTGATGCAGTTTGATAATTTCTGTAATGTATGTCCCATCCACTTACAACGTCTTTTCCTAATTTCCTCTTCAACTGGAAGCTGGTTTGTCCTGTCTCATAAAAGGCTCTTGCTGATGGTGTCCTGACAACGGACATTGAGTATCTTGCTCAGACAATTGTTCAGAAATACTTGTACTTTTTTATGGTCGTTGTGATAGTTCTTCGAGTTTCAGCTCCTTACAGTAGGACTGTCTTGACGTTCGTATTGAGGATTCTGTTTTTGATATTGGTTGACAGTTGTTTTGGGTTCAATTTGTTCTTGAACTGTAGGAATGCTGCTGTTGCTTTGCTAATTCTCTCCTTTACATCTGCATCAGATCCTCCATGTTTGTCGATGATGCTCCGTAGGTGCGTAAAACTCTCCACCTCTTCCAGAGCTCCATCAAGTGTTTTTTTTCTGCCAAATCTTCCTGAACAGAATTTGGGGCATCTTTTCAGTTACTTCTATATCTGCCTTAAATGCTTCATCTGGTATACTGTCAGGTCCTACTGCTTTCCCACTCTTAATTTGTCTAACGGTTATACTGATGTATTCCATTGTGAGTGGGGTGACACCTATAGGACGGTCTGTGTGTACTGTTTCCATGTTCGGTAAGTTCAGTAGGGCTGATCTATTTAAGAGTTCCTCAAAGTGTTCTGCCTGCTTGTCCTGCTGTTGTTGAATCTCAGTGATTGATCTTCCTTGTTTGTTCATGTTTGGTTGCTCTGATTTGCAATATTTCCTTGCTAGTTTTTTCGTTGTGCCATATAGTTGTCTCATTTCCTTCTCTTGCACGTTGAAGTTAGAGATTCTTTGATCCCTTTCAAGTTTTCCTCATGGTAGTTTCCTGTTCTTTGAGTAGATCCTGTAAGGCTTGGAACTATTCTAAATTGGTTGAGCTTGTCAGTACCTTCATTGAAGGTTGTATTGAACCTTTGAAATTCTGTTTGTCCAGTTGTCCAATATTTCTTTAGCTCCAGTTTAATATTGGCAACCACCAGGTGGTGATCTGAAGCTACGTCAGCTCCCCTCTTGGTTCTCATAACTTCTATTGACCTTGTGAATTTTTCGATGATGCGAATATGATCGATCTGGTTCTGTGAAGTATAATTCGGTGGGGTCCATATGGTTTTGTGTATGCGTTTGTGCGGGTTTAATGCCACCCATAACCATTTTGTTGAGTGCAAATATATTTGCAAATCTCTCACCACTTTTTTTCTCTTTTTCCCAGTCAATCTATGTCGTCCCATGATAACTTCACACCCAGTGTTGTCCATTCCGACTTTGTTGTTTAGGTCTCCGATCAGGATGGTTACGTCCATTTCTGAGCACTTCGATATGATCGATTGCGGCCTCTCATAGAACTGATCCTTATCGTTGTCGTTGCTATCATTTTTGAATGCATAAAATTGGATAACATTCGTTGTTATTCCCTCCTTTGTTTTGAAATATGCTTTGATGGTACTTGAGATGCACATCCTATAAGTGCATTCCGTGCTTCTTTGGACAGCATCGGAGCAACTCTCTGATTGTATGGAGCATTTCCCTCCTCGTGAGTGGAGTACAGCAGCATCTCTCCCATACCTCAACTTTGTTGTCAAGCTTGGGTCCATTGGATTTCTCTGATTCCACACACTGCCAAGTTGTATCCCATTCCATAGCTATTTGATTGGTCCTCTCGGTCTTCCACATTTTCCGAATACTCCATATGCCTATGTTGATTGTTGCTCTGGTTGTTAGAAGTGGCATCGGCCCCATGGCTTTCGAAAAATCTTTGTTTTCACTTTAAGGGGTCGTAATTCTTCTAAATGGAGATCTTTCAACTCACAGAACAGAGTCTGAATTTTTTCTGGTTAGGGTGTTGTTTATCAATGTCGTTTTTTACGAGATGGATTTGATAACCCTATGTCTAACTCTCATCCTTTACTCGGGCTTGGGAGCGGCATTAACCCTAGAAGAGCCACAAACAGAGTTCACCCGGTATTCGCGACCGGTCACCCATGCAAGTACTGACCGGGCTAAACATTGCTTAACTCCGGTGATCGGACAAGAACAGGCGTTTTCCATATTTGTACAGGTGCATGTTTTTTTGCTTTCGAGTAAAATATGTGTTATGTTAGAAAATTGAACTAAGACGCTATAATGTAATTGTTTAACCACAATATTGTTTTTCGTTCCCATAGATATAATTTTATCTCAGTTAATTTTCTGCAGATGCTGACAAAAACTATTACCAACTGGATGATTAGTTAGACACCATCAGAAATTGTTAAATCTGTTTGTAAAGTTTATTACTTTGGTAATTCGAAGTAATTTGGATTACGTCTGTTAACTGGTGAAGAAATCACATGCCTCTTTTAAAGAACGAAGTTCTTATTAAGTGAAGTAGTATTTATAAAATGTAAATTACCGTCATTTCTTTCTAGAGTCTTCCCTCATTAGAAATGGCTAGAATTATGTTATTAACAAACATGTAACGTCAACAAATTCTGGTTACGAATTCGGCCAAGGGTTGCAAAATGTTGATTTAAAGCTGTTATAAAATGATTTAGAATAATGAGCAACACAATATTTGCTTTCCACTTCAATTAATTTTCACATTATATTTCGTGTTAACTTCGTAGGTTGACAACATTGTTGAGATATCTTCTTCGTTATTGGAATCGAATAATGTCGCCCAAAAATCATTACATAATTGGGACTCGAATCGCGGTTGTATTCTTCTTCAATGTTTGCAGTATCTACTAGTTATGTTTGAAGAATATGGATGCTTGCATTCGGAATTACATATTTATTTGCTTCGCTTGTTACCAGTTGTTGAGAAAATTAATGGCGTCATTTTTTCCTTACGCCGTAGTCTATCTCTGTAAGTTTTGACATTTTGTCCTTTACTTTCATGATAGACCTGAATTACTTCAAACCACTTCTGCTAACAAATAAACTCATTTTTAGTGTTTAAGTATCATTATTAACTTAGTGAAATACATATATTTCATCGTTGTATCTCCTAACCATAGGATGAATGATTCGTGCATTCTGATTCGATGTTTATGTTTTGGAAAAGTCAGTCAGTATTATGCAGTTCAGGACCTATTACAGTCTTGCATTGGTTTGATTCTCCATATTACATTTGAAAGTAATCAAATTTTTACCAGATGAACAGCGGAAGAGCCGAATTAATGTTAGCATCAATCGTGATGAAGAATAATAATCGTAGTGAATATGGTTTGTAAGAAAGTGTGATATAAGCGAATAAAGCAAAACTGATTATTTAAATGAAATTAAGAAATAAATGGATCTGGACCAACTTTGATGTGTGTCACATATGCTCTCCAACTGTCGTTGTAGTTATTGCAACTGTTAATTTTCGTCCTTATTTCCAACCCTGTGACATTTTATGAGAACTGCATTAATTGAAATATAAAGTCTCCTAAAATTGTTTATTCATGTGAAATCCATTCACGATGAGTTGTGTTCCAAAACTCTTTTTAAAGATAGGAAATCACGCATTCGTCAGTAAACTATGATTTTTCAAATATTTCCATCAAATACATAATCACTTTTTTAATGACTGATGTGCGAGTATTATTCATTCGCAAACTTTTTATATTGTGCAGACTGGTTATGGTAGAAAGAACTTGTTGTATGACTGCTATTATTTTTGAAGCTTGGAAATTATGTTACTATTAAAAATATCACTCACTAAAAGTACCTTTCATGTTGGCTTTTTTTCAACTCCTTCACTGGAGTTTTATTTCATATCCAGGTCTAACGAGCTTCTTTCTACGGAATCAGAATTCGCTTTAACACGCCGTCCAGTAGCATTCAATCGATTGTCTACTTCGATTCGTATTAGCGACTTCACATCTATCTCAATTCAGTTTCTTGTCGATCTTCTGGTTCCAAATAATTCCACTCAAGTTTCGCTACCTTCAGGTCGCACTTTCCTAATCATACAGTGTTTAGGTCAGTTTCCTTGGATTTGTGGAGAGTTATTGAATTACGGTTTTGAAAGTAGTTTTATGTCCTTGGATCAAAAGTATATTTGATTGTTCAAGTTTATATAATCAAGAGCTAAATTTATTTTTGAGTTACGCAGGTGTAGTTTTTTATAAGTTGGCCCCGTTGATGTTTATCATACAGCTGATCAAACTTTAAGCTGTTTAATTCAGAATTTGCGTAAAGGCCACCTTCCGTTATGTGGATAGTGTTTATACTTCTAAGTGAACAAATGATCGAGCTGCGTCCATCAAACAAAGTTGATCATTAGTGCTAAATTCGCTTAATTTGTTAAAAATCATTCGTTATGTTATGTGGTTTCGGAGTAAAAATTAGCGCGAAATTTACCGGTATAAAAGACCGTTATTCCACCTCTTCTTATTTACAATATTTTGCTATGAAGTCATTATAAACGTTTATGTATGTCGTAATTAATAGCTCTATAAACAAATTGTTCATTCAGTTATTTATAAGTAGTGTTGCACCTGGTAAGAATGTCCATTAGTATTAGTAATATCAAATTTAGTTCGAAAAAACAGGATATAGATTCCGGGAAAAATACTGATATTGTGCGTTTGTCAAAATATTATTTTGTGTTGTAACCTGAAGTATAATCACATTGGTTTAAATAAGTAGCTACAAAAAGAGGATTGATGGAACAATTAGTTCATTAGAGTAAGCAAAGTGAACGTGAATATCATGAACTTATGGTTTGAGACAAAAGAAATTTTATTTAAAAGGTAACCAAGAATTTCGGGTACAAGCAAGGTTTACAATAATCTATAAGAACTCTCGTCTAAATTAGAGCGAATAGTTTCACAGTATTTAAGCGCCGAGTTGATGTAAGACATTAAATAGGAATAATATATATTTGTAAAATCTCAGCGAATGAATTTGTAGTAAATCCAACGTTTCACCTGGCAATCTGGTCCAAGCTTTTTCAAAGAATTATAATCAAACATCAAAATTATCGAATATAAATAGGTACATGGTTCTTCGTTTGATTGTACACTGAATAACTCATCCAATCAACGTTAATAATGTCTAGACTGAGTATATGTATTAGTGTGTAAGAGATTTGTGATGTGAAATGATGTGTTAATATAACATATTGTATAGAAAACGTAAGTGGTGAGAGGAAAAAATTTCATTCACACTATATATTTTCTCTTATCGATGAATTTATAAGAAAAATACAATTTGATACAATATGATAGGAATCATATATGTCACAGCATGTATAAAATGAAGATAATTAAACAAAATAAAAATAAAAGAGTGAAATTTGAAGAGGATGAATGTAATTTGAAACTGAATGTATGTGTCATTTTTAATGTTCCAGTTAATTGTTTAACAAATTCCGATAAGACAAATGATTAAAATCATTGAATGTAATTGTTATCATTTAGATAATACGAGATAAATAAAAAAACGTTAAGGAGTTCAGGATTTTACTTGTTAATGATTACTTGCCATGGCACTGCTAATTGTATTCCACCCCTCCTATTGATATTGTTTACAATAATCATAAAATTTTTTGTAAAATCCAGAGCATCGTGCAATAAACTGACCTACCTGGGAAACGGAAACTATCTGACATCTAAATAGAAAAATATGAGAGAGCCCCCTTCACATGGAAGATAGGTTCCCACGACTGGCTTCTTCCGTCACTTTATATCAGTTCATCTGCGTCTATTGAGCCAGTTGCGCAGTTTGTCCATCAAGGTCGCTTGTCTCATTCAGAAGCATCTACAGAAATGGCTTTGGCTATCCAGAAACAACTAATTTGTTCGTGTTTGAAATTTAGATACACTATTTTGTACCGAATGTTTAAATGTCAATCGTTATATTGACAAAGTCAAAAATTAGACAATATATACACCTCTTCAGCATTGCTTAGTTTTGACAATTTTGTAGCTGACGTCGGTGCGTAATAAGATTGGAATGTAAAATAACTATTTAAAAAAAAATCATAATAATAATAATTATTATTATTAATTAATGGCTTTATTCAATATTATAATCTGGTACAACATAGAATTCTCAGCACGAGTTATTTCAACAAGTTTTTTTACCAAAAAAACAAAACAAAAACAAACATTAAACCAGTAGCTACTGCGCCACCACAGGTCTTTTTATTGTTTGATCGATCCTGACGATAGATATCAAAATCACGTAATGATACTAGGCAATCATCCTGTAAGTCAGTCAACCAAGATTCTTGAATTGTGATGACACCACAATTACGATACATGTTTTGACTTAGCAGAAATCGTAGATAGTCCACCTTGTTAATTAGAGATCGACAGTTAGAGTTAAGCAGCTTGGGAATCGACATTTGATTAATGTTTATTCTCTCTAAAGCATATTGCCAAACACCACGATGTCTCTTATTGTCCTTGTTTGTAATTTTCGCAGCGAAAGGACGTAAGCTTTTCATAAACGCGCCTGTATAGGTTATGCGATCAAGAGACATAATGATAGGTTAAAACAAATTTTAAAAAAACACCCAGATAACTTGTTGAAATATTTAGATGGCAGAAACAGGTAGCCCAGGGATTCAAGCAGGCCACCGTGGTTATGATGTTCATTCTAATTCGAATGAATTTATAATTTTTGGCACTTCTTTTATTCATTTTCAGGCTCATCATATTTTGATTCAATCAGCTGGCCTTTTGATATTAAGTGGAACGAATGCGTCTTGCAATTACTTGAAGCTGTATGGTGAGTTTCAGACAATTGTTTCAATATTTCATTTTCTGATGATCTTTGGACACTTGTGTTCATTTTAGATCCGTCATAAACGTATCTTTCTCTAACGGTTTGTTCATGGTAAATGATATCATAATTAACTGTCAAAATTACATAAGAATTGGTCAACCAACAATTGCTAGCTTCTTCAGCCATACAGCTTTTCAACTTAGTGAATGGATATATAAACTTGAGCTTAGCCATCCGGTGACGTATTGTTGTGTAGTTCCCATTCGTGCTTCACTTCCTAAAAAAGTGTTAAATAAACATATCTCGCTTTTGATGGAGTTTTGTTCTCTGAGCTGGACGGTTTGGTCGACAATGAAACTCCATCGAAATTATCCACCTGAGCTACAAATCTTCTCCACCATCTCAAAAACATATCTCACTTCTGCATTTTTTATCTCCTCACATCTACTATTGATCTCAATGTAGCAGTACGTAGTATTAATTCCTTGCTCTCTTCAAAGGGTCATGTCATCCCAGTATTATTGTTTCAGAGCTCTGAGTACTAACCCTACTGTAGAAAATTAGATATCATACATTTTTATTAAATACCTATAGAGGGTGTTTGGTACTTTTCATAATCGCGTGTTTTCCATGAGTTGTTCCTAATGTTTTGACTGCCGACTTGTAGCAAGTATGTGGGTGAAGATCTCATCATTGTATTTTGATCAATGTGTAGTGTATTAGGTGCTTAATTTGCACAAAAATCCATACATTTTGAATTGTTTACGCTCATATTATATGATCAAATAGTCAAACTAGTTTTTGTCGAAAAGTTAAACAAACTGATCTGCGAAACTAATTTGCTGCAAACAAAATAACCTAAACTTTTAGAATCAGTCAGTCATCTACAACATAGGACCAGGTACATATACTCATCGGTCCAAGTTGTCATACCTCATTAGCACAATAAGATGAACAAATTCATAACAGTTGCTTAAATAACAAAAAAGATTGCATATAAGGATATGATAAAAGGAGAAAGAAGGGTACAGAGTAATCTTAATCTCACGGTTTAAAGGAAAATAATGAGTGTATACACCTACACCATTTTGATCGAATCTGAGCCATGTCACACGGAGTCTCCGACCGTTGGTTACGATAGTCACGCGGACCCCGACCAAGTAGTCTGCATCTACCAACATGGCTCAGACTAGAAGTTAGTGACTTCAAGCACTGATGCCATGTTTTAGTTTGGCCGCCCCTAACTCTCTTCCAACCATCGCCAATACTAGTCAGCATAGCGCGTCGTGGTAATCGGTGTTCAGGTATACGTAACACGTGGCCCAACCATCTCAGTCGATGAAGATTCATGACCTCATCAAATGATTTACCATCATTCCCTAATATCCTATGTCTAACCTCACTATTACTTACCCGGTAATACCAGAAGATGCGAGCAATATTTCTAAGACATCTGTGGTCAAATACTAGTAACTTACGAGTATCTTCTACTCTTAATGGCCACGTTTCACAGCCGTAAAGTAGAACAGAGCGAACTGCTGCACAGTATACTCGTTCCTTAATTGGTAGATGGATATCTCGTCTTCGCCATAGGTGATGTAAGTTGACAAAATCCAAACGAGCTTTTTGAATCCGTGCTGAGATTTCGTCAGACACCAACCCATTAGGGCTAATCAGACTTCCAAGATAAGTGAAGTTGTCGACGCGTTCGACTACTTCACTCCCTATCCGTAATTCAGGTGTTGACCCAGGCCAGTCCTAAAGTAACAGTTTACATTTAGAGGGGGAGAAACGCATTCCAAACATCCCTGCATTGTTGCTCAGTGCTACCAAGACCCTGCGTTTTATCAGCGTCTTCACCAAACAGAACTATGTCATCCACGTTTTCTAAGTCGATAAGTAGACCTCCTGGTAGGGGATCAATTCCTGAAAATTCAGTCGAAGGGAGTGTTATTTCCAGCAATAGGTCTACAATGAAGTTAAACAAAATTGGGGATAGTGGACAACCTTGACGGACACCATTTGAGGTTGTAAAATCATATATGACAGTTCGCCATAAGCTCTCACTCGACTGGTAGTGTTCGAATAAAGAGCCTTCACAAGGTTTATGTACTTCTGAGGTACACCTTTCAATGACAGACACTGTCACAGAACCTCTCGGTCTACAGAGTCAAATGCTGCTTTTAAGTCAAGAAAAACTATCATTGTCGGACGCCGATAAGCATGCCTCTTCTCTAAAACCTGACAAATAGCGAATATGTGGTCGATGCAGCCACGACCAGGTCTGAAGCCAGTCTGATTTTCTCGTGTTTGCAGTTCACGAGTCTTAGTTAGGCGCCTGGTAATTATTGAGGCTAGTATTTTAGATGCTATGTTAGTCAGACTAATCCCTCTATGGTTATCGCAGGATGATTTTGGCCCCTTCTTATATATTGGGACAATCGGAGATTGTGACCAGTCAGATGGGATTACGTCCAACTCCCAGATTTTAGCCAGAATGTTAGTCAACCTAATCGCCAAAATTGGACCACCATATTTAAAGACCTCTGAAGCCAATTCATCTGGACCAGCTGCTCTTCCTCGTTTCAGATTAGTTGTAGCCTTTTGAAATTCAGGTAGGGTCGGGGGACCTACTTCAATGTTCCATTCAGACTGTCTGGGAATAGTGGGTAGTTGTGCAGTAGCTGAAGGCCAGCTGAACTGCTCCTTAGAGTGTTCCGCCTATAGCTCTAAACGTCTGGGCTGAGAGCAGATAAGGGTTTCGTCTTTTTCCGAGATTGTCTCACTTACACTTGACTTCTTAATTCCGGTTTCTTTTATTAGTCTGAAGAGTTCCCTAGTGTTGCCTACAGCCTCTGCCTTTTCCATCTCTTTTGCTTTCGTTGCCCACCACTGCTCACGATCGTTCCTTAGACTTTTAGTCAACCTAGATCTAATTTGTTTACGCTCTTCGTCGTGTTGAGAGCCTGATGGGATGAGTTTACGCAAATCCATCAGTGAAATAGACTTGGAAGAAATCCATTGGTTTTTTGGAACCCTATGGTTTAAATTACTAATAGATGTGACTGCTGTTTCCGCAGTTGTTCGTATGTCTTTCCAAGCAGCATCTGGGTCAATCTCGTTTACAGAACTGCCTAGATGTGAACTCAGTTGTTTCTGAAACTCGCATTTGGCTTTCTCGTCCTCCAGTTCAATCCTAATGGGTCTTCTTAGTGTAGTTTTCCTGCGTCCAGTGAGGCGCAAACAAATGCGTGCTCGTATTAAAGCGTGATCAGAGTACAAACAGCTATTCCAGTACGAGCAACAATCTTCTATCGAGCCTCTCCAACGATAACTGATGGCAATATGGTCTATTTGAGTCCATCGTTGGTTTAGTGCAGGTGGTCGCCATGTTAGGCGATGTCTCTCCTTATGCTTAAAATTAGTGCTTACTAAAAATAAACGATTGTCTGAGCATAGTTGCAACAGACGATCACCATTATCGGTTCGTTGAGCCAGAATACTAAAACACCCACCTAAATGTCTTTCCGTTTGATTCAAGCTGCCTACCTGGGCATTAAAGTCACCCGCTATGAGTACTATGTCTGAGCGCTTAGCTTTCTGAAGAAGCTCAGAGAGCTTTCTGTAAAAGTCATCTTTTACTTCATCCGCGCTGCAGTCAGTGGGAGCGTAGGCAGAAACGACGAAAAGGCAACGACATGTGTCCCTATCCTTCCGAGTTCTTACGGAGCCATTTAGCCGGACAGCACACAGGCGACTGTTAACGGGGATCCATTCCAGTAGTACTTGTTCTGCCCTTGTACTAAGTGCTATGCTTACACCTGCAAGTCCACGAGAACTAGTCATGGGGTCGCCAGATACATGGAGGGTGTATTTTGTTGGCTCTCCATTTTGGTGAGATGAGGTCAAGTGAATTACCACACTGGGATCCTGTATGCGTGTTTCGGAGACACAGCATACATCAATGGTACGAGATTCTAGGGTCTTAGCCAAGGAGGCCTGTTGATCGATATGGCTTAGGGTACGTACGTTGAAGGCTCCAATGTGTAGTTTGGAGCGAGGTTTTAGTAGACCTGGGACAGTGTTTCGCGCACTAGAATGGTTGGCCATGGTGACACTTGAGGTGGAAACCGAAAGAGGAAGTTTAGTGTTGAAGGTCGAGGTAGAAGGAATAGTAAGAAGTGAAGAAGAAGATTGATTATGAATACAGTGGTCTTGAGTGCTGTTAGAGGTATGAGGGCAGTTATCACTTCCCAGTTGCCCACACCGTGGAAGGGTTGGTCTAGAGGTACCTGTAAAGGGAATTGGGTCGACCTTTTCTAACCCCACCCCTCCCTGTGGGAAGGCAGCATCGCTGTTGTGCTGGTTGTCTGGGGGAAACCTCCTTACTGCCGTCTCACTTCTGTACATTTAGTAGTACGACTTTATCCTCTGACCTTGGGTTTGCAGTTTTTAATCTTACCGCTCTTCAACCGACCTGTCTGGCATGGTGGGACCTTGGGGAACGATTGTTCCAGTTAGTATAGCTCAATTGGTTCATCACGATAGGCAAGCCCAACCACTAACTCAAGGTAGCACCAACGGTTGGAAACATAGAATAGTTACTTCTTTTTTTGGTCTTGAATATTCTGTTCATTTTCTAGACTTCAACGTTTAATTGTATGATAAGAATATCGTAAATTGTTTAAATTAATATTGACCTGGGGTAAAAATTATTGTGAATTGATTTCTTGGTTTTGTTTTGTCTAATTAGGCATTACTTCCACCTCTTTCTTTTTTCTCATAGTTCGTTAGCATACTCTGAATCGAACTTGGAAGTGTTCAGTAAGTCTTTTGTGTCCCTCATTCGTATTGTTTTATTGCAGATACACGACTCTCCGAATAATGCAGACAGTTTTAATCCTACTGTCTCTTTTTTCGTGTTAACGACTAGGAGTTTCCCAAATAATATGGGATGTGTACAAGTATTCACATCAACCATTAGAACCCTTGAGACAATTTTTTACCGTTTAATTTTTACTTCTATTAAGGATGACGTCTTTGTTCTGTGTTTTTTGTCAAGTAGGTATTGAACAGTTAATTGATCAACTTTTTAACAGTCATGCATATTGTTCTCTATGATAAATGCAAGTAAATATTCAATCCAATAATTCGCATGGCTGATTGGGTCAGTAAAACAGTCACTTTCTGATGAAACAGGAGAATTATGTATAGTATGTCTGTAAATCCCAATGCGATGCTAACAAAAGCTCTCGTCTTCAAATACTGTCTATTGAGGAGTACCAACTGTATAAATCGAACTAAAATCAATTGTTTGAATTATCCGAAATCGTTTCGGCTTTTTTAAAGTATCGCGTAATCTTTGTATGTTTTCAACTCGGTTTATATCTTCTTGTCTCCCAAACTTGTTTTATTTAAACGCAAACATTATTATAAATAGGAAAGAAAATAAATATGTCACGCAATAAGAAGTGAGATTGTGAAGAGAGAGATGCAAATGAATAAAAATAAATGAACGACAGTACCGTTAGATGAGAGAAGCCTTTCAGTTAAGAATAATACAATCATAAAAAACCCTTCTGTTAAAGAACTTCCTCCGGATTTTATGACATGTTTAAAATAAAATTACATTGGTTTCTGTTCCGAGCCATGTCTGATAAAGTCTCGAGTTAATTAGTTGCATTATCTCTCGAACCCAAACTACGTAGTCTCCATAGATGCCAGTCATTTACAGTTTTATTTCATGATTTGGTCCAGTTTCATGTGCTGACCACTACTCCGCTTTTTACAACCAGTCTGATCATCGGCACATAATACACGATATGAAATTTTTCGGGTGACATTCGTAGACATGTCCAAGCCTCCGAAGTTGGTATTCCAAATGGTGACATTAAATGAATGACTGCCATTCTGCCCGACCATACATTTCCGAACCTCCACATTACTAATACGGTATCACCACTGAATTCCAGTAATCCTATGGAAACAAAAATGGTCAAACACAGAGTTGCTTAGCATCCTCAACCCGTATAGACCAGATTTCACAATCGCTGAACAAAACTGCTCTCACCGACGTGTTGTAGAGCCAACCTTTTGCAACCAGATTAACTTCACGATGGCACTCAAGGTGATCCAGATTGGCATAAGCCACACTCGCTTTCTATATATGTGAATTGATTTCATCAGTTATCTCTCCACCATCAATCACACAACTATCCAGATACACAAACTTTCCCGCTAAATCTATCATCTCACTCTCAAGAGTAAGTTCAGGCACAGGCTCCTGTCTGTCTTGTAGGAGTACTTTGCACTTAAAGGTACATTCAGAATATGTCATTTCCATGGATATTGATTCCCAACGGTTTAAGTGCTATTCGTATAACTTGAGTGTCATTGCACAGTAAAATAATATCCCGCATACTCTAGGTTTAAAAGTTAACTGTTCCCTACTACCTACTATCAGGTAGGTCATCGATAGGTGATTTGAAGAGAAATGGTGAGATTTGGCAACCCTACATAACCTTACTGCTTGTATGGAACAGTTGAGGGGAAGTTGGATTTCCATACTAACTTCCAGCTCTCCAGGTACTTGTATCAGTCATCGCTCGCCATATAGAGGAAGTAACACTAATCGACGTTGCTGCAGCAATAGGCCAGTGGATCTGCTCCTCGAAAAAATCTTCCCGTCGTCCATTATGTCTTTGGATGTTACTAATTTGGCGTTCCGTCAACCTCACCGATTGTTTAATCCATGTCAGATTTCTTTCTGCCAGTGACTCAGATGAGTTAATGTAGCTTTCAGCAGTTACCACATGCAGCAGCCATTTCCAACTTGGTCGTATGCTCTAACCATCAAGTTTGTCGGTTCGTACACAGATTTCGTAAAGTTTCTTTACGCAGGTATCTACGTTTATCACCAAACTTATGATTTGTCATATTAAATAAACGTCGCTCAAGAATTTGTAACAATCCTGTAGAAACCCGGTTCTTATAAGCGGGGCGTTACAAGAAGTCACAAGAGACGTAACCCGCTATTTTCAAGACATCAAGGAAACGCATAGAATGCTAATCTGCATATTCCGGAGAAACGGCTATTAGCATTAAACCTAACTAATTTATATTTGATTTTAACGGAAGCCACTCTCACTATGTTAATATTAATCCGTTCAGGTTAAGACGTTTACTGGCCACCAAAATAAATGATAAGCTTTGCACAGAATAAACTATGATCGAATTCTAGACAGACACTCTTAAAACAGCGTCTCAGTCGAAGATAACGAAAAAACACCGCCTCTGATAACGACTATTCACTTTGATGGGGCTTTATAATCTAACAGCGCATAAACAGACTGTTAATGGGGATCCAATCAATCAGTGCTGCTTCAGCCCTAGCGCTTAATTCAACACCAGTGCCACGAAAACTAGAAGAAGATGTTACAAGGTCTCCGGATAAATGCACGTTAGGCAAGCTTTTCGAAGCGACAGGTGGAGAGCGAATTTGTAGTACTTCACCAGAGTCCTGAATACTGGTCTCGAATAGACAAAAGACATCGATGTTAAGACTTTGCAAAAGGAGTCAAACGGGTTTGTTGTCTGATCTGCATCAGTATGCGGTTGTTGAGCTAACCAGGATGCATGGCATACGTGGTGTCAGAAAAGTTGTGTTAAAGTGCCATTCAGTAGTAGCATTCTAAATTTTAACCAGTCAATGAGTCGAGAGCGATTAAACAAGACAAGGCTTCAACTATATACGAGCTTCTGTAAGTTAAAAAATAAAAGAATAGACAGAATGAGAATCAAGAGGAACCAATAGGTGATGCAATGTAAAATTAAAATGAATGTGTCCACATCATAAATTCTGTGGTAGGCCCGAGGTATACCCCGGATACTCTCATCGAAGCAAGCTGTTTTCTGAGGAGCCACTCTCCAAGCTTTTGATCAAAGGCCGTAACCTAAGAGACAGTAGGGCACTATCAAGAAATTCGGTCCCATTATAGTCGGTGACCAATATCGGTTCTTACGCCATTCGTTCCTTTAACAGTCAGGTATCTTTGTTCGCCATTGGTTTAAGACCAGTGTTTCCAAAATCCTTTAGGTGGATCCTTCAATCCGGCCAAAGTATAGGATGTTCAGAAAGCCCAATTTAAAACCAGGCAAAATGTGCCTCAGAAGCTAATCATATTACTGTGATTGAATTTAGGAATAGTTTGTAAATTCAAATTTTACGAAAACAAGTAGCCGAACTTGACTGCGGCTATTTTTAAGTAGAGTGGTAGTTAAGGTGTCCTACTGCCAGTCACTAATTCTCAGGTTCGTGCAGCGTCAGACCTATCACAGTTTAGAAAACCAGGTAATATTTCTTGCCGTCTTACTTAGGATGCAGCTCGAATTCCAGCACACGAATATGTACCCAGTAAATAAGAATAAGTTCTGCGTTTGTTTAAACCCTTTAAAAAAGTTCAGTGGCATTCTACTTTTTAATAACGTTTAAATGTAGTATTCTGAAGTAGTTAATTTTTTGTCAGTTGAATTTATGCATGCATGTAATAATTTCTTAGTTCCATTTACTAGGAAATATGTGACCAATGGGAAATGTGGTTATTCTACATTCATATAAGTTATTTCAACAGCCTGTATTGCATGTATTTATCAATAAAGAAATCTCAGATCTGTCAAAAAAATTGTAGCCATAAATAGATCAACACTGGAAAAGACCGTAAACATATATGAATGTACTGTTCGAACAAAGCGCTTAATTGTTTATAAAGTATTCTACATACAAATACCACATTTCATCATTGGTTAAAGCACATCACGTAACTAGGTTGGATGGTTTTTTGTTTTCTTTCTTCAGGTTTCTTTTGGAGTTCTGTTTATCCTGCGTTTAAAAAGGCTATTTCTAGACAGAGTACCAAATTTGCTCCTATACCTGTGAATCTGTTATCTATCCTATCCAAAATTGCATTATATTTCCTTCGTTTATCCAATATATGCTTTTCATACAGGAGCGAACAGTAAGAAAATATGTCTAACTTCTTTTCTTATGTATTTATATTTTTAGGTTTCTATGGAAAAATTTGGTATTTTGATTTATTCTTTGTTAACGTCATTAGGTTACTGCTTCTAATGTGGATTCTCTTAGTTTGACCTTCCTGAGGAGTTTCTTCTTAAAAGCCATACTATGTCTGTTTGGTGTTTTCGTCATTTTTCATTTCCCTCTGTTTTAAACTGTTGACAAAAATTGAGTTATTGTTCATTACTATGCTCTACTTATGTGTCACTAATTCAGTTTTTTAACTGCATAACTACTTTTTTCTCCTGGAAACATCCCAGATGACAAGATTGTTTGTCTCGTCTACACTAATTATGGTTTGTTCCTTCTGCGTAAATAATATATGAAATAAATTATTGCTCTATCCGCACAAATTTAGAGTCCCAGCTTAAATAACTATAACATCCAACTGATTAGCGGAGGTATTCTCGTTTTCTGACATATAGCTTACCAGGTTGAAATTGGTCATTGGCAGTACGATATCTTACAAAGAGATGCTTTGATGATATAGAAAGAAATAACATCCTATTTTTATTGTCTTAACATTACACGCCTAGTAGAGCAGCAGTTAAAAAATATTCGTAATTCTGTTCATTTTCATTGACTAGATAACCTCACTGGTTTCACTTGCCTCAACATAGAAAGCGTAACCTAGTATATGAAGTTTAATTGGTCTACGTGGAATAATTTTCATCTATGTATGCCTGAAAATCAATTGTGGAATAGGGTAAAAACGCAAACAGTTCTTTGGATCCTAGAAAAATCTGTAATTTAGGTTACATTTAAATTGTATTGGTAGCAATTGTAAACGTGAATTTATTAAAGCATTATTCGATTAAGTTTAGATTCCAGTTTACTGTTAAAACAGACGTAGACATAATAAATATATTTTTGTGAAATCCCGATGAGTAGAAATTCATATTTCTGACGTTTCGTGACTTGATGCATTTCACTTCTTCAAAGTAAATGAATAACCGAAATACTATTGACACAAGTTTAAATAGTACAAAGGAAACAAAGCAAAATACTTTTTGGTCATAGACATAGATAATCTATGCAATACGCTTCTCGAAATTTTCTTAAGAAACTATTCAAAGTCATACCTGTGTGCGCGAAGAAAAAGGTCTATAATTAACTATTCTAAGGAGTTAATGTACTTGAAAAGATTAACCTTATGTTCGGATTTATTTGACCATAATGTTTTCCTGTGCCATACATCATCAGGATCGAAAAAATATTTACTAAATGTCACCTCAAATTCAAGTGTACTCTTCAGGGGAGAACATAAGTTACGCTTCCATTCTATTCTCCAGATATGTTTTCATGCAATACAGTTATATTCCTGCTGTTAATAGAATAAGGTGTCTGTGAAATGATAAAAATCTAGTGATTTAACTGAATCCATAGAAAAATGGACAAATTTTAGGTAAGAAATAAGCTTGTGTATATGATATTTTTTGTTCACCGAGAACTGCTTGTGAATCGCTTTTCAATAAATTTCTTTTTTTTTAGTAAATTGACCCTCTGTCTTCTTGATCCCGCTGACCTATTTGATTTGTTTACAATGAATCCGTCTATAGATTTTTCGTAAGTTTTCTAACCCACATGCTTATTGTATTTTACTTATGCACCAAAATAATTAATAGTAAGCTGAAAGAAACTCACTCAATACTTTTTATGCATGTAATAGTTGTTAACACTTTATGACTGACAATTATGGAATTCCATAACGTATTCCTAGTTGTGTGAATAATTTAATTCCCCAGTGTCCTGCCAAACCGTTGTTGTTGTTTTTAGTTTTTTAACGTCAATATATTAATATGTTTTCGCCTTAGATGTTAGTTTTCTTCCTTACTTTTTTTAATAATACAGGTTTCATTTTAGTATTATGGAAGCATTTTATGGCACATCTAGTGCAATTAAAGAATTGTTTACCATTCTTAACTCAAGTAAAAAGGAAACTTCTACTGTTGCTTGGCTATTCTTCGTCGCTTTACTAACGTATTGTTTGTTTGTTAGAACTGTAAATTCGTTTTCGACAGAGAGCCATGACGATTTCGTCTTTCCGTCTTTTATCAGTGAAATTCGAGCTTATCTACCAAAGCAAATAACCATTTCAACAATCTCAAATTTAGATCCTGAGACCATTTTCATTATTATAGCTGCTTATTTTGATGAACTCTCTGTAAGTTATTTACCTTTATCCTGATTTCTAGCTTTCTAATCTAGTAGTTTACATGTTTAAGAAAGACATGACTTATTTATTATTTATTTATTTATTTAAACACATATATATTGGTACAAAAGGGCACCAGGTACATATGCGCCACACAAAATAATGAAATTAGGAAGAGAAGGGATGAAAAGATAAGGCGGACTGAAATGTACAACCAGAAGACTCTTTCAGTTAAGAAAGTTAGAACCATTCTTTATGTAGAAAGTAAAAGAAGGTTGCAGCAGGATCGCCACTGGCTTCTATTCTGAGCCATATATAATAACGTCTCTAGCCACTGTGTTGCACCATCTCTCGGACCCCAGACTGGGAGTCGTGAAGGACCAACAGAAGCTAGCCCTTTGCAGCTCTCTTTCATGCCACGACACCATGTCATACACTGACCTCCTCTCCGCTTTTTCCAACCAGTCCCAGGGTCGGCAAATAATGCACGACGTGGAAGTCTCTGGGATGACATTCGTAAAACATGTCCAAGCCACCGAAGTCGGTGTTTCAAGATGGTGACACCAATTGAATTATTGTCTCTGCGCCGAACACACGATGCCGAACCTCTGCATTACTAACATGATGTTGCCAATGGATGTCAGCAATCCTTCGGAGACAACGATGATCAAACGCAGAGAGACGTCTAACATCCTCAACTCGGAGAGGCCAGGATTCACAAGCATAGAGCAAAACTGCTCTCACCGACGCGTTGTAGATCCGACCTTTTACAGCCAGACTAACATCAGGAAGGCGCCAAAGATGGCCCAGATTGGCATAAGCCGCTCTGGCTTTCATTATGCGTGCATCAATCTCATCACTCACGCCACCACCAGCACTTATATAGCTACCTAGATACACGAACTTCTCAACTACTTCGATCTGCTCACCATCCAGGGTGAGTACAGGATTAGAATCCTGCCAGTCTTGTAGTAGTACTTTGCACTTGGAGGGTGCAAAGCACATGCCGTACCTGCGGTCACTGATTGAATGCGGATTGCATGGCTTGAGCGTTATCGCACAATAAGACAATATCACCCGGAGTAGACCAACGGGCTTCCATCAGTTGTAAGGAGCCAGAAGAAACCCAGTGCTTGTAGGCGGGACGTTTCGCGAAGCCGCAAGCGGCTTTACTCGCCGTTTTCATGGCGTCGTGAAGATGCAACCAATGCTCATCTATACTTTTCGGTGGGATGGTAGCTAGCCTAGAGGCTAGCTCCGCTCGATACTTACTTGCAACAGAAGTTGCAGCCAGTTTACTAATATCAATCCGTTGGTGGTGGTCAATCCTTCGGCCACTGAAAAGTAAGGTGAGATTGGCGCAGACCAGGGCATGATCAGACTCCAGATAGGTACTCCAAAAGGAGCGGCAGTCTTGTACACAACCACGCCAGCGGTAGCTGATCGCGATGTGATCAATCTGAGTCCATGCTTGGGATGCAGAGGGAGGACGCCAGGTGGCACACCGGCGATGACTGTGTCGGAAGTTAGTGCTGGCCAGAAACAGGTTGTGGTCTGTGCACAGTTGCAGCAAACGGTCCCCGTTATCTGTCCTGCGACCAACAAGTCCCCATCGGCCACCTAGACGACTCTCTTCTATGCCTAGACGCCCGACCTGAGCATTCAAGTCTCCGGCTTGTACTACAATATCTGTCGAACGCGCTTTCTGGAGAAGAACTGTTAACTGATGTTAAAACTGATCCTTGATTGCATCCGGGTTGCAATCTGTCGGGGCATAGGCGGAGATGACGAAAAGACACCGTTTCTCACGCCGATTTCTTCTCACTTTGATGGAACTTTCTAATCTAACAGCACATAACCGACTGTTAATGGGGATCCAATCGATTAGTGCTGCCTCAGCTCTAGCGCTTAGTGCAACACCAACGCCTGCAAGACCAGACGAAGATGCCACAGAGTCCCCGGATAAGCGCACGTGGAACAAGCTCTTCGAGGCGACAGATGGAGAGCGGATTTGTAGTACTTCACTAGAGTCTTGAATACGGGTCTCGGATAGACAACAAACATCAACATTAAGACCTTCCAAAGGCATAGCCAGCCCTATCTGTTGTCTGATCTGCATTAGTGTGCGAACGTTGAAAGAAGCCAGCTTGAACGGCGTACGTGGTTTCAGAAAGACTGCTTCAGTATTCATAATCGGTGGAAGCATTCACTTTCAACCAGACAGTGACGGGAGATCGTTTAGATAGGACAGATTTTCCACCATGGGCGAGCTGCTGCATAAGTTGTAAAGTAAGGTTACACAAATTGGTGAGTTAGCGATATGGTAAATAATAATAATAATAATAATAATAATAATAATAATAATAATAATAATAATAATAATAATATTAATAATAACGATAATAATAATAAAGGTAATAATAATAATAATAATGTAAATTGTCTTGCTTCTAGTATGAGCAGGAATAGTATCGTCAACAGAGTTCATCATTTCATTCATTTGTGTGTGGGCTTTGATACTGCCCGGGTGCCCAAACCGAAGCAGGTGGTTTTCTTAGGGGACCACACCCCGAGCCTTTGACCTAAAGGTCTGATCCACAAGGCAGTGGAGCATCGTGAGGAGATGCAGTCCCATGGTAGCCGTTGACCAATGACAGGTTCTTCCGTCATTCGTTCCATCAGGATACTGGAGCCCATGTGCACCATTGGTTTGGAATCAGGGTTTTCCAACTACCCTAGGTGGACTCTCCGTGTCCACCAACCTGGTTAAAGTGCCGGACATTCGCTTTTCGTCCTCTCACTTTCGTGAACAACACCCGTGATGCGAGAAGGCAGTGAGTAGGACTTTTGTGGCAGAGGCTATATATTCGCTGGCCATGTGAGAGCATTTCGAGAGGGAGAGTAGACTTTCCCCACTCTCGGCCGTACCAGGGCATTTGGGGCCTAAGAAGAAGTCACTAAAATCACCACTAATTCAACTACACTTTGGGCTGTTCTGTTATAATTGAAATTTAATTGCCCGTCTGAATCATTGAATACTTTAATTGTATCCTCTAAATCATATGTTCAAAACACCGAACTTAATGCATGACAGCACACTATTACTTAATTCAGAGTTGCATTGGCAGCTCTAGTTCATAGAGAGAAAAACAACAATACTTCACTTTTAACTCTTTAAAAATATTTATTAACCCCCTCCTGAAAATTAGCTGTCGTAAAGAGTTACGAAAATCAACATCAAAATTCTCCCTTGAACAGAGTGATACATTTTTGTCACTCTGTTTTTCGATACAATTTTCTGAAGTATCAAACTCCCTGTTCAGCATATATTGCTAGAAACCACTTTCTTGAAGCTTTGTTGAAACAACCCAAACCAGTCAGTTATTTCCGCTACAGAAATTGGTGATAAACAGAGTATGATCTCTGTTTCTCGGCAATTAACATCATTAGGTCTTAGTCAACTTATTTGTATAAAAGTTTGTTATTATCATATTATTATATTATTACTACCTTGACTGTTCACTGAAATGAGTGCTTTCATCAGTATCACGGAATTGATGTCTTCCGCTCTAACAAAATTTGTTTATTGAGTCATCGAAGATAAGAACACTTCTCTTTTTCTATCTTCAGAGTATTTAAAGATGCAGTTAAAGACTTATCATCATTTTACTAAAGATCCTTTAAAGATGCTAATTTTTTCTAGCATTCAATCGAATTGGTCACTTATATACTCTTTTATGAGTAAGTGAGAGTGAACGTTTATGTCCCATTCTTAATTTTAGATAACGATTTCTGTGATTCAAAGATTTAAATTATTTGGTGTTTGCTCGTAAGTTAGTTTTAGCACATCACCACCTATTGTAAAATTTGGTAAGGCATGGTGAAATTAGGTGTAGAAACACTGATAAAAATGCTTTGCTATTGATAAGTCTCGCTACCGATACGCTAAGCTGTCTCCTTAACCAGCCCCGATAACTTTAAATACTTCTACCCATCAACTGAAACACTAGAGAAAAGGCGTAGATCGCGAGTGAAAGATTTGCTACCAGGTTGTTTTATATACACAAAAACGAGGGTATTTGTAGAATTGCACGTGATCTTGGGCTGGGCTTCTAGGAATTTCTGGAACATTTTCGGTGGAATTTTGTTCTTTGAGTTGGATGGATTGGTCGTGGAGCTTTCGTCGTTATTCTTAACGACATCATCAGTACAAACTTCAGGTAGAAGTCTTCTACGGTCGTTATGTTTAATTCTCAACGATTTAATGAAGAGTCAAGTTTCAAACTTCTGCAAGAGGATCCCATATTTTAATGGAATTTCAATCAACAAGGAGTTTTTTCACTTGCCATCCATTTTAGTTTATATCACTGTAGTTAGTACTGCCTTTCTATCAATTCAATATGTATTATGATTCTCTTTTGTTTAGTTGTTTATCAAACAAAATCCACCTTTTTCTAAAGTACATATCTATTAATTCATGTAGCTTATTCAAAATCGATTGAATGTCAGGTACAAGTATTGTGATTTTTTTATTCACATCATTTTCTATTTACCTACTGCATGAATTGCTTTTCCATGTTTAATTTATGATAAATATATTTATGGCCTTGAATATGATCATTATCTATCTTTCTATTGACTGAGTCATTTTTCTGATCAATCGTTTTGCAACAATGACAAACGTGAAGTAGAAGACTTCTACCTGAAATTTGTACTGATGATGTCGTTAAGAATAACGACGAAAGCTCCACGACTAAACCATCCAACTCAGAGAACGAAATTCCACCGAAATCATCCACCTGAGCTACAATTCTCCACCATCTTATTTCTGAAACCATATTATATATAGTAGTAGTAGTGTAGATAAAGATCCGATAACAACCCTAGCCCATGATTCTGCATTTTCTGGATGTTTCTGAAGAGATTCTGTTCAACACTGACTGGATTACACATTTCCAGGCTTCGAGGAACCTCGTCGAGGGATATTTTTGTGACTCCTGCAATATTGCATGTACTTTTGACACACTAGCGTTCTCTGTTCTGTATTTCATATGCCTTCTGACATTTATTTGTGTTTTAACCTTTTTATTTGATTATCTGTAGACATTTCAAGCTCGAATGTCATTCAAATCTGTTTTTGTTGAATATATTGGTCGATTAAGTGAGTTTATTTGTACATGTTGCTCTGTGTCCAGTGTTGCACAGGAAAGTGGTTTTGGTTTGAGTCACATGACACAGAGCAGTTTCTTAAAACCGGAGGATTTGTGTGGAAGTGGTTATCGAGTGGCAGGGATGTTAGTTCGTCACTGTTCAATGTTGCTTTATTCTCCAGTCACTACCGAAGGCTCAGTATCAAGCTTTGAGAACTTGGTGAATCACTTTTTTCTTCCACGACAGTTATACGAAACACAGGATTCCAACAAATTTTCTACTCTTAACGAATCTGATATATTTCCGTGTTATGTTATGGAGTCCATGCAAGAGCAGCTACCTGAAGTAATTATAAATAAATTTCGATTTCAATAACTTCATTTTTATACCATCAAATATTACTAGTTTTTTTTCTTTATGTTACTTCATTTTTATTTTAACTGCATCAATATGTAAGTACATAGTTTTACTGAGTCAATAAATATTTCGTTTTATATCAATTTTTCTAATCTCTAATTTACAGTTTACACGCGGTATCGCTCAATTAAATTGGAGGAGTGATCCTTATATATGTCGCATAATAAAAGACATTGTCAAAATACATTATAAACACTTTGGTCCAGGAGCTATTGCTGTAAGCTTTTAGTAATGTCTTTTTCTTTGTTTCTCTTACACATCTTTTTTTTGTAATCGTATTATATCATCCTTGTTTGATTTTTTAGTCAATGGTGCTTCATAGCCCTACACTGGATTTTCGGACTCATATTTTGCAGTTTGCCACTTACGATCAAATTACTTATCTGACTGAAAGTAAAGTTTTGCCCGTTTCTGGTTGTGAACAAATCACATATCAGCACAACATTCTGTCTAATGTAGGTCTCAAAGTTCTATTTTTCAAAGCTTTGGTTTCATAACTCACCAGTTTTCTCTACTTGACATTGTCATGTTATTATTCTTGAATCAATTAACAACTTGAACTTTTCTGAAAATTCGATCGTATTCTAAATGATCTCGTTTATTAAATGAAGCGCCTTCATGTACATCTGCAAACTTGTCAGACTAGAATAGGATTCCCTTGCATTTTCTTCATTTGAAAACAGTAGTCAAAAGGCAAACAAGTTACAATAGCATTGTTTGCAGCATGATTAATGGTTAGATTCTGTGTATTATATTTGAATTGGCTACCTTATAATAAGACTATCGCGGTAGGAGACATTACTGTTCATCTTTGAGCTAAAATTAATTTCTCGTGTGGGGACAAGTCATGACTTGAATAGAGGACACTTGAAGTTCTTATTTTTATATACAAAAATGACAATTTCAAAAGGCTTTCGAACTCGAAATATTAGACAAGAAACAACATTTTAGCTCGATACCGTGTGTTAATAAGATAGATGGTTTCCATATAATTACTAACCTCAATAATTAACTCTCGTTACTCTGTTTTGGCTAATGTTTTCTCAGAGATCAGATTAATCTGTATTTTCTCAACTTAAATATAAAGTTAAGGGCTTAGTAATCCAAGGATTTGTGATTTTAATATTATTTTCTTGCAACATTCGCAGCTGACTCCATTTCCATATTTAAGATTAGGTTAAATGAATGTCAGTTTGTCCCTCATATATCAACACAAAATCTGTTTTAAGTTCGCTTTTCCGAGGACCGTATGAGATCTTTGACAGGTCTGTATGATGCCAGTGTCATACTCTAGTCTTAAGGTAGCTTCAAATCACTGGATCCTCGTTAAGGTCGTTTATACGCTCCCTTGTTGGGTTTAATCAAAATGGGAAAGAACTAGCGTAATAAACTCTGTCGTTATTGCCAAATACTTTCTGACGGATTGCATCCAACATCTAGTAGAGAATGAATAGATTTGTAAATTGAGTACGTTTCAAACTTGGTATTTTTATCTCAACTCTCCTTTACTATTTCACTTCTATTTTCATTAGTTATTTCACAGCTCCAAATAGTTATTCTATTAATATAATTTATCAACAATGTTGTAAATATCATGACTTGTCTTTTAGCTTGAGGAAAGTTCAATTGTAATTAATTATTCTATTGAGCGTATCGTTTTAAATCAGTTTCTTATTACCATCATGTGTTGTTGCCACCAATTTACTGATTAATATTCTGTATTATTAGTGGTCGAATATGTTCTATTACTATGTAGTTATTATTTCACATGCATTTATCCGATTATTATTCGGAATCGGAGTTACTATAAATAGTTTTTTCTCTCTTGAATTAGTGGGTGAATTTCGCATATGCAATATTCTCCAATACTCATTCAAGTGGTATTTACCTGAGGTTAGTTTTTGAACTCTCTTCCAAACATCTCCATCCTTTAAGTGCATCGCTTTTTTGTCATTAGTGTATATGATGTCGATTACATGAGACAGGACATTTGGTACGTACTAATAAGACAGATATACACGTTAGCATGCTTTTTTATTACGTAAAAGAACAACTAGCCAACACTACGGACATACTTCCCGTACTCAAATCTACTACCATATATTTTATGTTTCATGGTAGCTAAAAAACCCAGTAGTGTGACATCTCATTGTTCATAAGTCATTTTACCAAGTACCCAAAAATGAGCTGTCTTACAATCATGCAATGACAACTAATTTACTATTCATTACTGAACACTTTCAGTGTTGAGAATAGAAATTAGAGTGACTCGCATATCATGTCGAGTTTACTAATGCCCAAAGATAAATTTATAGTTTAGAAGTTCTTTAAAACTCACTTTAGTAATAGCTAAGGAGTCGTAATTGACGGTGAAAAAATCCAGGTAATGTTACTAGTTCAAATATGATAGAAGTAGCCCACTGGTCAGAGTATCGAACTTCATGTGGTCGGTGAGTTACATTGTGATCATAATTATCAGATCCCATAAATAAGTGTAAATGATAACTAAACTTTATGAGAAATTAAGGTGCCTGGCAAAAATATTTACTGGAAATCAGTCTACTCAAACTGTTGTATCTATCACTCTGTAAATTGAGTAAGTACTGTTAGATATATTTTCTAAGGTTACCTAGTGGCGGATAGTATGCATCCTAGTGCAACTAAGTGATTTTCACTACTAATTGTTATGATTTTCTTATACGTTCCCTAATCGACAACCAGTTAACATTCCCCAACTAGAATCTCGATTATAATTCTTTCTCGTCTACAGACTAACGTCCCATAGTTTAGATAAATGAAACACCTCAACTGACAACGAATAACCTACTGGTCCACAACACACACCTGTTCTGTCTTTATATTTAGTCAGAAGTAAGAGGATATATTGAAAGGCAAGCTTCTATAATCATATTTCAATCACTCAGGTGAACTGCAGTCCGTTGTTTGAAATCAATATGGGTGATATGGAAGGATTTTAATCCGGTTATTTAATATACAAAATAAAAATATGTAATAATATTTCCTTAAAATAGATCCAAAGTTCAACATTTTCTCGGTATTTGATTGTTTATAACAGTACTGAAAGCTGCTTTTGAGTTTCGGCACCTTAGTAATTTGTCTTTGCATTATTAGATTTTCTAGTTGACACAGCATAACTTGGGATCATTGCATACATCAATATCCAGACATGTAGGGGTTTTTTGCTTTATTTATTGAGTGAACATTTTCAGAAATGTGATAGTATTCATACAATTGTGAAATTACCTATGTTCACCGCGTGTCATGTCTTTTTTTTACAGTGATGCTCCATTTTTAGTTTGCCCTATTCTATTGTCAAACACCTTGGAAGATTTAACTAGCGCATTAAATTCTGATAGTCGCAAACACAGTATACATATTCTTAAAATGTATAAAGAAGCAGTCGCATCGGTGACTTGTAAGGAAACTAGGTAATCTGTGCAAAACATTTGTTTAACCATATTCGTTAATAGTTAATTGTCTTTTAATTTGTCCACATATTTTTGTTGTATCATTTTTTGTTCAGAAACCAATGTTTATTTCTCTAATACGTAGTAATTGTATTCGTCAGTCAACTGATTACAGTCGACCATGAAGTCTGGTTTAGTAATCTTTAATATAACTAGACGGTCGTATTAAAACTTCTATGTATCATTGTGTTACCAACCCAGTATTAAGCTATAAGTTGATCCTCTGTTAACTAAACACGATTATTGTGATTATCTGAAACAAATTTTTGGCTGTTAAACATCAATGTGATAAATTCAGCACCTTTAACCACACCGTATAGTTTCTAGTCTTAATTGCTTTCCTTGACTTCAGTTTTGTAGTTCTTAAAAAACGAACCACAATGTTTGCTGGATACCGCGCATTTTCCCGCCCGAAACTTCGAGATATTATTGGTATAAAGTAATTTTCCTTACTGTTCCCACGCCAACTTTCATTTCACAATTTAATATAACCTAGAGGGATCTGGATGGTCATGAATAAACTGATACTTATTATTTTGCAACTGTGTTAGAAATCATATTCACAAAAACTTGAAATAAACTTAATGTGGCGCACAGAAACCCATGTTCAACCAAAAGTCGAATAAAAGTATCGTATTTTGTTCAAATTACCAAAATTAAGGAGTAACTCAAATTTTACCGAAGGGATGTATAGCAAGTAAATGTAACAAAGTTGTCCACTGTGGGCGAGTTTACCAGATTCCTGTGCTTCTGCATCACATATCAGCAGTTTCTACGTTCTGTGACTACTTTTTTGATTAAACCAGTTGAAAACATTTTTACGGTACAGACTGAAAATTTCTAATAAGATTTCCTTACCAGATGATTAAAATCTAGTTCTTTCTAATATCTAGATCTCGTATCTTCGAGCTCTGCTGTAACCTGGATAAGAAAACCATGAACCCTTCATGCAATCTTGTCGCATATTTTGGTCTAAAATAGTATCTCTTTCAGCCTGTTCACATTAGTGAGAGACGAATTGTGTGTAACGTTCGCTACAAATGCTATTGACTTTTAATGAGATTTTTATACTCACTTTGTCTCATTGATTGTATAGGAATTATAAATTGGATATGTGTGGGATTTCTTCGAGACTAATGTTCTTTTTGTTACAATTGTCTCTTCATCCAGAAATTTTTTCAAAAGGACCTAAACGCAATATTATTCAATTTTTAACATTCTTGCTGTTATTATCGAGTACAACTATACTCCATCCTGTAAAATTCCATTTTCTGAACCATCTTCAAAATTTCGTCCTATATGGGACTGTGACTGTGACCTTGTAACTAATCTGCATAAATGTTAGGGACATTACCAACTTCACTACATTTTTCAGTTTTCATTAATAAGTCCTCTTACTACAGTGAACTTTTATATTTTTGTCTTGTAAGTTGCAAAATTGCAAGTTATGGATTGCTGGTGCTGATTTCAAGAAGGTAGAGTATAATAAGTGACTTTGGTGACTATATGTATCGAACATACTTGGGGACGTTATCTGAACGTAGTTCAGACGAAATAAGTTAGTTGTATGGGCTGAATAGAGTACAAATCAATAACAGTGCAACATGTTATCCTGTCCCTTCGTGACAGAAGTTATGTTCAGTGGATAATGTTGGTTCTCAGAAGACCTGATTATTACATTTCATTTGGAGACCAATCCTTATTTTCATACAATGCTCCCATGTACATTATGGAATACTTATTTTACCAAGTTTTAGAGTTTGCAATAACATATTGACGGTGCTTAGAAAGTGAGCCGAAAAATACAATCGCACTGAATCTTATCAGCTAACAATTTAGTTAGACTATTAAAATGGAGACTATCTCCAGATAACAAAGAAAATAACCTTGCAAATATGATTTAATCGGTTCACAAATTATGCATACTTGCACGTGTATTATTAAGGACAGACAACAGTTATAAAACTATTCAATATAATATAGTTATAATACAGTATATTATAATTGAACAAATTATTATTTCTACTTGCAAAAGTAAAGTATACTGGACGAATCAATAGGATTTGGATGGGAAAAACATTAACCCAGAAAGCTACGAAATGCCCTTGCCTTTTAGCTAGTGTTGACTTGTCATGAAAATCACGATTATCCATGCGCAAAGACTGACTACTTATGTTAAAACTAGTGACTAATTGAAATCCAATGACATTACATACCGTCCCATAGGTAGGGACTTCACCGCCTAAAACGCAGCTCAAGGTCTTCTGTATACTTGACAAAGACTACTTTTGGAAATATAACGGCAATCAAGAATATATAACAGAATAAGCGAGGAGGTAAATAACTAGGTATATTTAGTTGTGGAGGAATACTTGCAGTTTAAATTTTGGCAATTAGTGCAAGTGTACATATTGCAAAGTCAATATTGGAGCGCGAAACTGTAATATCCAATATCTTTGCCATGAGCATGTAGGGGCCGATTGATTCATTCGCGTTCGCTTCTCGCTGTTTCAATACAGTTTTAGATATTTGGTAATGTTCAATGGGTGGTAGTCTAGCCACTCGACTTCACTGATTCTACTCAGTGTGGCAGTCAAAACGATAAAGCGGTGTAGCTGTAAATAATTCCCCCAAAATCAATAGCTCATTAAGTGTTCGACATTGGATGCTGACCACGTTGTTTAAGTGGACTTGTTTAGCTGAAGGCTTTCGGTCATGCATCCGCACCAGAGCACGTTTCAACACGGCGTGGGACACAGCTCCTACGTTTCATTAGCCAGCTTATAGAATAGGTCCTCGATATATTGGTAACGAATCAAATATATCTTTCCTGCCTCTTCTCGTCTGATTTCTATCTGACTGGGAACGATCGAATATAGAAGGTGCTACTGGTAGCTAGTTGTAAAACTAGAACATCCGTTGCATCATCAGCGGTAATGCGAATGCTAAGAGAAGGCGAATGTGTGAAGAATAGTAGATAAGCTAGCTTATTGTGAATGCATACATTGTGAGAAGACGGAGGTGAAATAATTAAAGGGGAGACATATGATATTGAGCGAGATAGGAAGTATTTACTGATATGCGGTAATGATAACCGTGGTAAGTTATGAGACGTTTATTAGACGCAGTTGGTCCAAGAGCGATATGGTAATACATAGGTAGGTGTTTGTCATGTCTACTCTAAAAGCTATCCACTGACGGGGTTATGATCACTTCGGATTAGAAAGCATTCCAAATGGAGGCAACTCCTAGTGAAAAATATGACAGCGTATCTGAGTGTTTACCATTTCATTTACAATTTTTTGAAGGTTGACTGTAGGAGTGTGGTGATGATGTTCCGGTAATTTTTTTGTATCAGGGTAGCATGGTGTGCTTAATATGTTGTATATAATTGTCAAATCACTTCTTATTCTCTTATAGTCCGACGAGAGTAATCTCAAGTGTTATAGTCTATCCGCGTTTGATTTATGTTTAAACACCATCACCCACTTCGTGATCCGTCTCCAAACTTGGTCTCATTTAGAGAGTGGAGGCCCAGTAACATTATTGCATTTATGGTGGAGCCATCAGTGGGTTTTAAGAGGGACTAGGAACAACAGTAGTGCGAAGACGAACTAGCAGCACTCCACCTCTTAAGAACAAGCGTAGCTCTTGCCGAATTCGCCTTAAAAATATAACATTTCCATCCACGTATATTTCTGATAACGATGTTTGGTCATAATTGACCAAGTAGCTAAACACAGAGAACTAAGATGTTCTATCGTTCCTACTGAGATGTAATTAAAATTCAAGAGGTCTGGTTGTCTTTTACCACTTATTTCATGGGGTTTCACTGCGTCTTGGTTTTCCCAATGAATCACTACTTTTAAGGAGTAGAACCAACTTAAGTGCTTCAAAAGATAGCCATGGGTGTTACCAGTGTTGAAAATGGGCGTCTAATTTTCATATTCTGGAAAGCTAGAAATGTAATATAATCAGACATTACCCATGTGGAACAAACATTTATTCACTATCTGGATTGTTTTTCAGGGCCAGTAAAACGTCACCTGTTACTAGCCAAATCAGACTGTGCCATTTCTACGTCAGGTTACTGATCACTGGTCGTTGAACAGCCTAATAAACATCGCCCTACCTTGAAACTGTAGTAGACCCAAAGGCGAGACTGTAATTTATGGACGAGCCAGTCGGAAGCGTCTAACGGATTTCAAGGTCACAATGCCAATACCTGGTGCTCGCGTACGGTCGGTTCACAGCAGATTCTAGAGAAGACGTGACAGTTAAGCGCCTACAACAAATGGTAGTACTAAATGGTTCCTTTATTTGTGACTGCAGTAACCAAATGACTTATAGACCACGTGCAGACTACCGTTATGATATCTTTCGATGTTATATATATCGGATGAAGAGGTATGCTAGAATAGGAACTTTTTTCGCTCGATTTAAATTGAGATTAAGGCAAATCATGATAATTGCTGCTGTGTAATAAAAGCACCAGTAGCACTGGCTGAAATATTCGCAGATGTTACTGAAGCTTCGGCTGTTCAGTGGTATGAGTATTGTAGGGATATACGCGTAATAAAAATGACAAGCTCACACAGTCAGAGTACACACAAGCAATATCGAAGCTATGTGGTAGGGGTTGGAAGGGCATTTGCGACCTTATCATGGCTCCAGAGACCGACTATTATGGAGCCATATGGATGAGTTCCTCTACCGTATGCCTTACAATTTTGGACCCTTGAACCTATTTCTAACCCTGACAAATTTTCGGACCATATGAAAGAATTTTATCTATCTTTGGTTTTGTGTAATATATTTTTACTCTATACTAACTGTTTCCTGATTGGCTAGTGTTTCTCATGGTCATTTAAGATTCGTTCTAAGGTCGTCCGTAAATTATGGTCTCGCCCATACATTACCATAGTCCATCAATGGCTGGGTGAAGAAACTAAATTTTAGGTGTAAAGCTCTGTCGTCAAATTAACCAAAAATACATATCCTAGTCATCAGCGTACGATTCGCTCCCACTAAATACATGCAATTATTTTCTTGACGCATCCTCAAAATATGGATTTGCTGAGTGATGAAATCGCTTCTTCGTTTCTGGCTGAATCATTCACTTCACTACATAAAACCTACTTTATATTTGACTGTATTAAGGAACGCTACCCTAAGTAGCACTGCTCATACCTCTTAATTAATATTTATTTCTTCATGTGAAACTGAGAGACTGACACGAAAATTTCTTGTTTCTATATTTATAACTTGTTTTCATTATTTCAGAAGTAGAAAATTTGACTTGCTGTGGGATTTCACGGGCTAAATGTTAAGACGGAAACTTTTTTGTGAGAAGATCAGTCAATTTTTTGGTGATGCCGAATCCCATAGATAGCGATGGTTCCCGATCTGTATCAATGTGGTTCTTAACATTGCCGAGTGATGGTGCAGACTTTCTAGTTACCCTTATTAGGAGTTGTCTCCTGGGAGCTTTCCCACCCATTCATCTCCTAACAGTCTGCTTCGCCCTTATCACTTTCCAGGGGAACTCAGCCGTTTGAAACTATGAATAAGGTGTTGCTGCATTATATCCTATGTTTTAAAACGTTTGAAATCACCAGGCAAAATCTATCATCCGGAATACACTAGCTGTAGGATTCTTTTGGAAAGTTCCGTCTGATTGCTCATGAAAATCCCTCAACACATACACATTTGTAATTTACTATTCTACATCCCTTCATATGTAGATTTTGTTGAGGTTTGATTCAGAATGAGACAATATTATTTCATCTTTCTTACAGTTTCCTACTTTGTTACGCTTTTATTAGATTCTTATGCTTTTCCTGGGCCACATCGATGTCGTTTAAATTGATATTTTGTTACGACGATTGCCACATTGATTCTTACCTCTTTTTGATTGCGTGGATTGAATTGACTGGAATTGCGCATCTTTGATTGTGAATGGAAGCACTCTTCCAGGACTGAAGCCACTCTATGTTATAACAAATTACTCTCGATACATTTGTTATTGATACTTGTACAGAATGAGATATTATCCAAAAAAACCTGTATGCTATCTATCCAGGAAGCAGATAATAACATTCCTGTATCAATAGGAGCATTTATTTGTTGAACTTGATAACTCATATATTTCATCAATTTATCCACTTAATGTAATTAGATCTGATTATTTGATGGACATTTATCGGTTGAATAACCGAGTGATGATAATTATTAAGGTGATAATCTACATTCAAATTTATAAAGAAATTTATGACTGACATCTACATAACTCCTTTGTTTTGGATTTTTGCTGACCGGGTGCATGCTTTCTAAACTAACCTAAACAGTTATTTCTCATTCTAGACTGTTTTAGTTTTGAAGTTACACTAATTTCATAGAAGTGTG